GTAGTTAGTTTGAATACCTTCTCATACTTCTGAAGCTCATACCGTTCTAAGTCACAAACATAACTATCTTATTATATTCCTTCCTTAATAAGCTCTAGTTATACATTGTTCCCTTGCTCTAGGAAGCTAACCCCTTCCGAAGTGGCTTACATCGGTGAAGCCAGTCGGTATAGGGAAAGTATTCCTAACACCAGGAGTTAATTTAAGGGTAGCTATCTCTTTACTCAGAGTAAGTACCGCCTGATTCTATTATATAAGAGTTTCTTACAGGGTATGAATTTATATAGTTATCTATTCCTATATAGTATAGATAATTGCCTCTAGTTCTATTATTATAGCTAGTAAGGATAGTTAATATAATATAGTATTATAGAACTACTAGAAGTAATCTACTTAAGTTATTATATAAGGTAAATTAATAAGGTTATTAACTATCTATTTAGTTATACTATATTAAAGTATTATATAATAATTAAAATATTATATAAAGAAGGGAAGGCCCGAAAGTAGTTTTTACTAAAAATATAAAAGGGGCCTTATTATACTTTTCCTAATTAGGATTTAGATGCGCGCGCGGTAAAATCAAATTAGGAAGTCAGTTTAGTTTAGGAGTCTAGTTGGCTAATGTTAGGTAATGTTAGGTTATATTAGGTTATATTAGCTAATATCAGTGCTGCTTTAATCAGATAGGCAATAGGATGGTGCCAATCACGTGTCATAGGGGTGACCCCATGACATTCACATTAGTGAAGCTAATCGGTCTTGGGAAAGTATTCCTAACAATCACATAATGACCTTCAGAGCATAAACCATTTTCCCCAATACATTATTCTTTCTCTTAATAGGTCAGTATGCTTATTTTGCTCAATTAATTAAAGTAAGTACCTCATATGAAACATTACTTGTTACTTCGTAACAAGAATATAATATTCTAAGAAAGAATACTTAAGTAATATAGGTGAAAGCTTAGAATATGATATATTCTAAAAAAGAATCTTTAAATAATGCAAGTGAAAATTTAACATACGACATGCTCTAAGAAAGAATACTTAAGTAGACTAGATAGTATAATAATCATGCTAATAAAATGATTAAACAAAATTTTTTTCTTACTGCATTTTATGATTTAATATAGATTAAGTCTTGTTATACTTCCTTCACTATAGTTTATATCGCAGCTTCTTATTTTCTAAGTCGGTTAGATCACTAAAAGCATCAATAAGATCTCGGGTTTCATCAGAGCTCACTTTGCCCTCTTCCAACCGATCGCGCTTTTTGTTTTCGATAAAATAAATAACATACAAACCCGCAAACAGACAAATGTTAATACAGAAAGCGGCTAAAGAGACCGCAATACCAGTAGTGTAGTGAGGTGCTTCTTTTGCTAAGAAGGTCTGCGGTGAGATGATGTTGGACACGCAGTAGGAAATAAAGAAAAGGGTACCAGCTACGGTCTTCTTGGTATATCCAGCCACATTAGAAGAAAGTAGAGAGTACATAACTCCGGCAGACGCTGCAACACAGCCGATGAAGAATACGGCAAATAGATGAAGGCTTTTCGTATGACTATTCAGTTGGGATCTGTAAAGAATAACACAGGAGACTACCCCAGGAAGATAGCATAGAATGATAGCGAAGATTCTCTTACCATTTCCGTACTTTGAGGAAAGGAAGATTGAAACGGTGAGGACCGTAACAGCGAAGATTGCAGCTGATGGAATGCTTAGAAGAACACTCTGATAGGTTGAATAACCAAAGCCCTTGATGATGAGACCGAGAAAGTTTGTTTGAAGACTGTTGGTCATATTATGAACGAAAACACCCGCGACTAACATCCAGACTTTAAGATCCATCAGGGCTTCCTTCACTTGACGCCATTTGTGATGTGTGTTCTTGATTCCGGTTTTGTTGGACTTTAGGCGCTCGATAGCAATGAGACGTTCACGCTCGTTGAGCCAAGGGGCTGTAAGGGGTGAGTCTGGCAGTAACCACCAAAGAGTGAAGCCGAACAATATTGTGAAGACTCCAAATATGATAAACATCCACTGATATGGAAACAGGCCACGAGCGTTGACGTGAGCAACTGCGTAAAAGATGAAGCCAGCTGGAATGTTGATGACACCATTGGCGCAGTACCACAGTGCAATGCGTGCAGGCTGTTCTTCTCGTTTCCACCAAGAAGAAGTAATAAGAACGAAGCCTGGGTTGAGGCAAGATTCGAAGACGCCGAGAAAGAATCGAGCCGCCATGAAAGGCCCAAAAGTAGTGCAAGACGACATTGAGGTCAAGACAACGCCCCAGAGAATGAAATTGACTGTGATATATTTTCCAGTTGGGAATCTTTGCATTAAAACGTTTGTAGGGTATTGTGCAGCAAGGTACCCAATATAGAAGATGCTGATGAGCAGAGAGTACTCTTGGCCCTTCAAGTGAGCTTCTTTGATAAGACCGTAGGTAGCAGCTTGAGAAATAGTCTTTCTTATTCGTGAGCAATGTTATTTTTAGAAAAGAAAGCCGTGAACATACCAGTTTGTCGACAAATTGGATGCCATTGACGAGCAACATCACCATAGCCAAACGCAGGTCAATTTTGCGAAGCACGCGCCTTTCTTCGTCCTTAGAGTAAGGTTCATAGTGCGTATGGAGAACTTGAAGAGCAAGATCACCATCTGGGATTTTCTCGGCTCGTATTTGAGGCTCGTCACTCGCGAAACTTCGTTCGGTGTGCTGCACAGAAGATTGCGCGATCTTCTCTTCGCTGGTCATGCTTTGTGATGATATTCTTAGATGGAGAAAATATCTCAAAGTAAGTGGCAGCTTAACACTAGACATGGACTGTGAAGAGCAATCATTAAGGCCAGACGAGTCTTCATATATCCATCCTTCTCCACACTACTCTCCCTGCTGGAAGAATGCTAGGGAAAAGTCTGGGGCTCCGCAATGCTCTGGCCAATACTTGTAGAACGGAAGAGGAAGCTAACGGAACGTAGCGTGGAACGGAAGCAACTTTAGTTCGCACCAAGACAATTCCGTTCGAAGATGATTGGCTGTTTGGCAAGACTGGCATGGTCGCAGTTATTCCGCTCCATGGTCTTGCGGGGAAGCACTGAAACATCCAGGACAACCATGAATATCCTTCTTTTTAAGTAGCAAAATTACAACTATTGCAGCATCATGCGTGCCACTAGCCTTTCTGAAATTATCCGCAAGTTGAATGCGGGCGGGAAAAGTCATATCCTTGGAAATATTTATCAATCCGTTCCGGTTATCCGTCTCCAATAAAAGAATACAATCTGCCAAAATTTTCGAAGATAAACTCCTTTCCCCTTAAGCGAAAAGGGCGACTTCAAAATCCTCCTCCTAAAAACGGATCATGAAAATTTGTTGATAGCAAGCGCTCAAAAATTTGCCTCTTTCCTCCGAAAAATTTCTCCAATATGAAGATCAGAGATTACTTTCCGTCCTTAGAATGTGAAATAATCGGGGAATATGATCAGATCCACGAGCTAGTCTACTTTCGAGGAATTCCTTACGCAACTGTCAATAAGCGCTGGACTCATAGCTTGCCGAAAAACTCCTTAGAGAATCCGTTTGATGCGACTAAATTTGGTCCCCGATGTGTCCAGGAGGAGGGCGAAGTCCTTGTCAGCGGTGGAACCAATGATCCAACTCCAGGAGATGATGAATTCCAGTGCCTGAACCTGAACATCACTGTTCCGAAGGAATGTCTGCGTCAGCTAGTAAATGGGTCCACTAAACCACAGATGCCTGTGATGGTTTGGATTCATGGGTAAGGCTTGAAAAATGAATGAAGACAACTGAGGATACTAATCCATTACAGAGGAGGATTTAAATATGGAGCGAATTCTGTTGCCCGCTATCGCCCTCATAAAATCTGTTCGATAGCGCAAAAATCTGGTCATCCTATCATCTTGGTTCAGATTGGATATCGCCTTGGTGCTCTGGGATTTGCAGCATCTGAAGATCTTGCTGAAGTAGAGGCACAAAATTTTGCCGTAAATGGCACAAGCGGTCTAAATGGTACTCATCATGTCCAGGACCATAGTGTCGGCAACTATGGTTTTGTGGATCAGCGGAATGCCCTAATGTGGGTTCAGAACCATATTGAAGACTTTGGAGGAGACCCTGATAATGTGACAGCGTTTGGTATCAGTGCTGGTAGTGCTAGTGTCCATTATCATATTCTCACAGGAGATCCATTGTTTGATCGAGGAATCTGCATGTCTGGCTCAGCACCAACATTAGGGCCTCTGCCTTATGAGCGATACCAGACCGCGTGGGAGGACCTATGTGACAGAACTGGTCTTCAACAAGAGACGCGCAAAGGTAGATTGGAGAAGTTGAGAGCGATGGAACCTTTGAAGATTCTCGAAAATTATTCAAGCGCATCCATGGGGCCAGTTGCTGATGGAGTCTTGCTTCCAAAGTCATGGACTTTCGAGCAGACGAAACCTTCAAGATGTCGGTCATTGATCATTGGAGATACCAATGTTGAAGGAATCATTTTTGATGGCATTGCCAAAAGAATGAAGCCATCTAAATTTCAACAAATCCTTCGATCTGTTCTCTCAAATGCAGATGCTGATGAATTTTGTCAACATTTTGCGTTTACAGGAGACGATGAACAGCCCTGGGAGGTATACCGAGATTCCCTGAGGAGGTTTTTGTCTGTTGTGATGTTTCAATTTCCGAACCTTCGTATTGCAGAGACATTCAAGGCTACAAGTGGCGGTACGGCATATCTTTACCACTTTGAAGAGCCCTCTCCATTTCCAGGTCCAACACTTGGTTTGTCGTATCACGGTCAATGCGCTCTGTACATGTATTGCGTTGAGAACGATGCCATGCCCATAGAGTCCCAACATATTGCCGAAACCCTCGCCAAAATTTGGACGGCTTTTGCGCATGGGGTTCAGCCTTGGGAAGCGTATACGGAGGCTCAGCGCTTCATGCGATTTGGACCAGAGGGAAAAGCTGCTTTGAAGGACAGAAGCAATGATGAAACCAGACAATACAACTACATAGACTGGCTGAGGCAGAATTTCGAGGCGGTGAAGAAGCTCGCACAGATATTACTAAACGGAGAGTGATAGAAATAACGGTTGCTTAACGCAAATATTTTAATGTTCATTACAATTGTTATAATAGATAAACAAAAAGACGCGAGCAGTTTATTGCACCTAAGGAAGATCCATTTTCTGATCCATTACAGAGGATCAGCTATGAGTCAGGAGTAGTAGAACAATTCCTCACTCCAATAATCGCTCTCGATCGTATGGCTTTGTCCTTCAATCACCTCAGCCCTGCTAATCTCGCTTTGTACTAAGTCCAGGCCAGACAGAGACTAGATAGAAACAGAGAAATATATCATTATAGTCTATATAAATGATTAATACAATCTACTTTCTTTAATTATCTTTCAGAGGTTAAAGTCTTTTATAAGAATTTTTTATTATTTCACCAGTGGTATTAAATTACTTTAATAAGACATTCTAGGCAGCACTTTTTCGATGCCTGAAGAATGGATTGTTGGGATGTTCCATAATGGCCCAATTAGCATTGAATAAGTTAACTTAGGCTGCTTGCATTTGCCCGTTCGCAAATTTGTCAACTGACAGAAGAACAGTAGAAGCTCGAAGAATACTGAAACAGCCCTCGAATCCAGCCTTTTACCATCGCAACGTCCGAGCAAGTTCAAACATCTGCTCAGTACATCAATGCTTATTGGTTTTTTGCTTTTATGATGAAGAGCGCAAAATGTGGCCAAATGCGTATACCTCACCGCAGATCCTTCCTCCTGGGTCAGTGGCAAGTTGGCATTCAATGCCACCGAAACCTAAGCGTCGCAAGATAGATGTTGCGTGCGAGACATGTAGATTGAGAAAGTCCAGATGCGATGGGCAACGTCCAAGTAAGTACTGGGTGTGATTTGACTTTATGTATAAGTGGTTAATGTCGTGGAGAGTGCGGTGCGTGCACGAGACGAAAGAATGTCGGTCCAGTTTGCGTGTATTCGGGAGATCCTCTAGAAGGGTAAGATTCAACATTTGACATAGTGAAATAGCCTTTGGCTTCTCTAAACTGGCATAGCCAAGTCATGGCACAAACATCGGCCATAGGATTTACGACATATCATTTTAATGATACCCCTTCCTCATCGATTCAATCTTCAAGTGGACATGCAGAATGCATTTCGCAAGCTATAAGTCCAACTCTCAACCGACACCAAACGGAACTCTACAAATCTAAACAAGAAGCGCTCCCTGATACGCCAGATCAAGTCCGTGCCGATTCGGGGAGCCAAGTCCAAAAATTTGGCGTAAACAGGGAAAACTCAGCTGCCGATGAAGCTGTTAGCGGTGAATCCAACTGGATATTGGCGGCTGGACTATTGGCGGCTTCCAGCTCAGCCAAATTTTTCAAAAAAGTCTTCGGTGGAGCGGAGACAGAGAGCTTAACCGATAAAAATCAAAATGATCCCAAAAACGCTCCCAGTGCCACAACAACTCATATCAAGCCCGCCAGATCTGTTATTTCAGCGAAAGAAGCTCAGTCCACCGAGGAAATTCTGCCGAGTCGCAAAGTCGCCGACGAACTTGTCTATCTATTCTTCAAGCGGGCGCCCATACACTGGATAGATCGCTTGAAGCTGATGCAATGGTATGAGAAGCTGTGGACTGCGAATGACGGAGGCGAAGGCGAAAAAGACTGCGCTGAAAACCAAATACAACACGCCACTCTCAATATAATTTTCGCTCTGGTATATCAAACAGAGCCAGATCAAATTTCGGAATACCAAGACAAACTCGCACACGAATATTTTCGTCGAGCCGAAAAGCTATTACATCATAGTTTGTTTGACCTTAATCGGCTGGACCTTCTATTTGCATTTCTCTTAATCACTCAATGGTTCCAGAGCGTCAACGACGTGCGACAGTGCACTTCTACAGTAAGACTCTGCATTATGATTGCGTACAACCTAGGTCTTCACGTGCCAGGAAAAATTATGTCTCTTCGAAATCAGCGACAGCGGGAAATGGCTCTTCGTGCCTGGCACGGATGTGTTTTGATGGATCGTATAACAGCAATGATATCTGGTCAGCCCTTGCAAATTCCTCAGGATGTTGCGTCACAAATTCCTTTATTCGAAGCCATAGATGATGAATATTTGAGTGATAGCAGCCTTAACGGAATACAGCCGGCAGGGAAGCCTTCGATTCTTTCGTTCTATCTCGCATTTTGTCAGCTCCACCTCATCCTTGGCGACATATTGGTTCATTTTCACGATTGCCGCCGGGAAATTCGAGACAATCTTGACCTTAATCATATCATAGAAGTGGATGAGAGGCTGGACCAATTTTACAACACTTTGCCTAGCCATCTCCGTCTCGAGAAAGACAACAAATCCTTTTATGCCGCAACAGGGCAAAGCGTCCATCTCTATTCCCGCTTCTTGCACATTCGAATCATTCTTTATCGCGTGTTTTTTCAACATGCTGCCGAAAAGCTGAATCGCTCAGAATCAATATCAATCTCCCGCTTCGCTGATAATGTGACCCACCAAGGTCTACTAACTTGCGTTCGTACGGCGCAAGAGATATTAGAGCTCATCATTTTCAGCCTCACACCTGGCGAAAATGAAAGTCCGCGTATCGCACCACAGTGGTGGCACAGCATAACATATGTATTCATAGCGGCAACTGTTTTGATCGCTGCGCATTTATTTCCTACTATTACTGAAGAGATTTCAACTACCAGCTTGGAGAACTCGATCCGAAAGGGGTTTCAAATTCTGGATCATTTCGGTGAGGAGAAGAATTCGGCACAGCGATGCAAAATGGCGCTTACTGTGTTGTACAAGAGACACGTTGAGCCGCTTCACGAGATGCCGAGTCAAAGTTCAAATACGTCTTCACCTCCTAATGATTCTTCTTGTCATATTTCTGCACAAATTGATGATAATCATGTTTCTAGTGGCTTTTCGTGGGACTTGGGGGATCTTTCAGATCTCTTCCGCGGAGAAAGCATGGAATCGTTATTGTTCAATACAAACATTTTTGAGTGAAAAATCGAGAGACATGCTTTCTGCAGCTCCGGATGCAGTGCGGACGACAGCAATACAGGGTAATTTTGTTGAATATGGTGGCTCTAGCTAGTTTGTCTCCTCCACACGCGAATGTCAGAATAGTTGAGTAAATGCCACCCCTCCAATTCGAGAAAACATCCGGGACGTGATTCATTTTCGACTCAATCTTACATGCTAAAAAGCGTTTTGGTCTCAAATTAAAGATAATAAAAACACCATTATAGATGATAGTTCTGTAATGCCCCGATCTCTGGTGCACTGTACACCATGACCAAGACTCAACAATGCTAGACTGAACAGATCCCTCCATCGCACATCAGTCTTGATGATCTCCGAATCAGTTGTTCACGCAATCTTAGTCTTCGCGTTTGGATGGAACAAAATAATTCACCTAGGCATTGTCATGCTCCTACACTATATGATTTGCAGAACTTGTTCGTCTTTTACTCTGATAATCGTCGTGTCCATCTTCTTGCTCTTCTTCAATGATTAGAGTACTCACTCGATTTGTAATCCCTGGTATTGCCTGTACACTAATAGTCGATATCGGTCGTAGCCGCCTTGTTGGTCGATATACCCAGTCCACATTATCAAACCCAACTGAATTTCCACCGTCTGCTGGAATTGGTACTGAGTTCTGATCTGCAGCCAGGCAGTGTGAGGTAAGATGTTCTTCGGAGTTGGGATCCACTATAGGCTCTAGATTCGTTATGACACGAGAGAGCGGTCGACCCCCCTTTGTATCCGCTCCAGTAGTAACACTCATCCTCGTCCCGATTGCTGACACGGTCATTCTACGACCCTTGCCCTGCCCTATTTGGTCCCCTTCCTCCAGTCGAAGCACGATTTCGATTGCTTCTGCGTCATCAGTTACTTTCATGTGACGCTTGGCAAAATATCGCGCATATTTAAACATGGACCAGTAGCAGCTAGCTACATTGACAAAGGTTAATACAACTTTATATGGCATATAATAAACATAGGCAGCGACGCTGTCGACCCGCTCTCCCTTCAAACGAAGATGTACCTCGTTGAAGATGAGGACGTTGATGAAATATAAGCCTATTGTCGCCGCAAGGAGGTAGCCGCAAAACGTAGGCCGCACGATGAATGATATTGGTAGGACAAAGGGCGTGGTAAGGTATAGAAGGGTTTCAATCAACTGCGTTTTTGTTAGATCGTCTCTAAAAACAGCAAATCATATGTAAGAACTAACCTCTTGGAAAACGAACAGCTTTGCCCCAAACTCTGCCCATCCTAACTTCCAGCTGCCGATGAGATATGCCAAATTGTAGAACATCCCATTCACGAAAAAGAAGTTCCATCTCATGAATCTTTGCTTGTAGATTGTCATTTCGCCAAAACCGCCTCGAGCGCCACCACTAGAGAAGAAAACGGAATCAGGAGTCTCAGTTTCTACGAATATACTTGTGCACATTGTAATGCGACTGCCGAGCAGACGAGAAGCATGGCCGAAAAACCAGTCTTCAGATATGCCGAAGCCAGGATGTTTGTAAAAGGTTTTGAGCAGAAAAGCTCGATCCCACAAAGAAATAGCTCCATGTGGAAAGGTTGCGGATCCTAATTTTCCAGCAACAGCTCGCTGCAAGCCGCTAAGCTTGTACTCAAGATCTTGTGCACTAGATACAGTCAACTCACTATGATGCATAGGATCACACCAGAGATACCTACCGTTGACACAACGTGCCCCTCGTCGAGTTTGGCCCCATTGACTTGATTGTGTACCCAATGCACATAATCTTGTCCATGAGACGATCACTGACGACGGGAAAGTTTGGAGGTAGAGCACATTCATCATCGATAATGAGCACATTTTTGAATTTCCTGGCGGCGAAACCACCCACAAATTGTGCAACAAGCTTAGACCCTATCGGACTCCAAATGTGAACTACAACGTATGGCTTACATACCTCCTCAGTGTTGTCCAAAGGTGTGGGACTATTTCCGTTTGCAATGACGAAGATTTGGCTAGGAGGGAAGATCTTTATTGCCGCATCCAGTGTGTTCGCAATTAGACCAGCCGATTTGTAACAAGGAATCAAAAGCCTTTGTCGCGTTAGAAATCTGCAAGATACATATTACTGCCGAGCTTACGCTGTATCTCTGACAGAGAAATCATCTGCTGGATTATGATTCGCGGGACGATCAGGAGGATATTTTTCGAATAGGATAAATAAAGGAATGAATGCGTAACTTGAAAAAAAGTTAGTGCGCTAGTTATAGTTAAGTCAAGATTTGCGTACAAAGCTGCAAGACCCATAAATATAGCAAATCCCCCAATCATGACAAACTTGTGTGCAACCACCCAGTATAGCCAATAAACTGTTCCTTTCCAAATTGGCAAGCCCTGTTCGTTGGACAAGTTAGTAATCTTGGTTTAAATGTCGCTCAATTCTGTGATACGTACAATAAGGACAAGATAAATGAATGCCAACATGATGCCATATGCAGTATACTCAAAGATAAATTGAACCAATTTTTGTCGCTGGAAGTCCCGACCTTTGGTCTTGGCCTTTTCATACACGCCCCACATGCTCGTCTTGCGTGCCATAGAGGAAACGCCATTAACCACATTGTTGACGACGTCGGGCATCATTGTTGGCCGTCGTGGAGGTGGCGCGTGTGAGATTTTTCCACGCCGCACCTGTTCTTCTGCAATGTTCTTCTCGTTGAAGCGAACAGAATCCTTTGCAACATCATCAATCGAGCTAAAGGTTTCACGCGATGGATGTGAGGTGCAGGGTATGGGAAATTCAGAGACGCTGTTCATTCATGGGGCGGACAAGCTTGATTTCCTTAGGTGAGGACGATCCATAGATGGATCACAATCATTCGCAGAAGATTCAATGCCCGTGACTCGGCTTTCCGCATCGTCGGCAATTGCAACACTCAACGCTCTGTGGATCACCTCTTTCTGTCTTTGAACAGTTGAAGAGAGAAATCCAGGCTCTTCCATAAGTGAGAGGTTCCGCGAATGCGAAGGTCGAGCATAACCTGAGCTTCGAAGTAAACGATGAGGAACTATAATGTCTTCGGCACATGGCTCCTTCTCTGCAACGTCGTCCATGTTTAAATCGTGTTTGCGTCCAGGAACAAGAGTTGCAATCCTTGCTTAATGATAGAAGTGTTTGAAGTGTGAAGAGTCTTTTCTGTTTCAAAATGAATTTGGACAAGTAAAAAGATCCAGTCAGAGCTTAGAAGAAATCAAACTCACCCGACATCTCGGCTGATCTCAAAGCTCTAGAAGTCATCCCTATATTCCTTTATTTGGCAATGACTAAATCATGTGCTGTAATTTAGATATGAGTGATGTATACCTTCTTTAGTTTCAACCAGGACCAGAGGACGTGTTCGAACTACAGGTGCAATCGTAGGTCTCGACTCTGAATAGTTAGAATGGGCGGTCCCGAAAATAATGATAACAAGCAAGGATGCGCAAATAGGATCTCTTTCCGCATACGAGCTTACGTGCTTTCGCTCGAGGGCCGGAAGCAAGCCCAATCCAGACAACTCAAGGCTGGCGACCTATGCGGAAAAAATTGGTCATATTGAGGTAATCAACCACGGATCACACCTATACAAGACGCTTGACTATAATGTAACTCCACTAGTTTAATTCGTTATTGCCGATCATAACTTGGATGATCCCCGCTACTGAAAGCTTGTCTAAAGTCCCTAAGGACCAACGGTTGGGGACGATCACGCCTCCTCACGTCATGTGACATTGCGAATTCTGGTCTTTTGATGTCAGCACGCAGGATTATTTGTCTTGAGGGAAGTTCAGATGAGAATTCGTGACAATTATCCAAGAAAGAAGTGAACGAGGGTTACCGCGCGGCATTCAGAGCCCTCAAGCATAGCAAATCCGTCAACGATTATCAAATGTTCATGATACGATTCTATAGCCTGGTTGGTGATGTTATGCGTGAATGGTTTGCACCAGTGTCGTGAACTGTGTTCAATAGCTTTTCAAGATTGTCAAACATCACAAAGCTGCACGTGACACGCGCTTAGGTAAGCCGCTTGGGTTTTGAGCGAAACTAAGTGGTCAACTCACCATTCGCGATCGACCGCGACACGAACACGTAAACAAGGCACCTATGGTGCGCAACAACATTTCTGATTACAACACAACGAGCGTCTAGCGCAAGCCAACGCAATGGCGCCTGGAAAAGCGACTATGCTCTCAACATTGATTGACATCTCTTCAGTAGAAGGTAATCCTGGATCTGATATCGATATGATGCCTACACCCGAATCCCAACCAGAAAACAAAGCCCCACCAAAGCGTGCAAGCGGCCGCGCGAAAGGCGCTGCTGCTGGGAGCAAAGTCAACAAGACAAAGGGTACATCCAGAAGAGTAAGCGGCAGCATTAATGCGAAAACCAAGTCCCGCAAGGCTTTGTCGGAGCGGACGATGATTCCCAATGACGGCAACGACACAGAGGAGGTGGATGATTTTGAGGACGATCTCGATCATGCACCAATAGTTTCTGGTAAAGGAGGCAAAATGGTTCAAGATGCGGCAACATCGCGTAAATCGCATTCAAACAAAACAATTTCAAAGAGCGCGGCAAAGTCGAAGCTGGTTGGCTCCTCAAAACAGGATTCTAAGCAAAGAATACCGGCGCCCCAGCCCGGAAAGTCAGACCATGATATGAATGAAACTCAGGATATCACTGTTGCGGATTGTGCTCTTGAGCATCAGTCAACGATGCGCCAGACGCTCACCGCTCAACAATCGAGTAGAACGCGGTCTTTTTCGCGACAACCAGAATCGTCATATTCAAGACACAGAAGAGCGGGCAGCGCGTCTGATTCCGAACGCGCCAATGAACCCGCTCTTCGGAGAAAACTGGGGGAGTTGACGCGTAAGTTTGAAAACTTGGAGTTGAAATACCGAACACTCAAAGAGCTTGGGAATGGTGAGCTGCAGAGCAACTTCGAAAGATTGAAGAAGGCATCGGATCAACGAGCTAAAGGTGCACTGCCACGACATGTTGGAAAGACCTCGTGTTGCTAATTACCATGACAGATCAGGAGGAAGTTATTGCGTCTCTGAAGAAGGAGCTTGCAGCACAAAAGGCTCTTGCTAGCGAGAGTCGAACAGTTCGCTCCCGGAACGAAGCGCTCGAAGCTGATAACCGGCAACTCTCTTCAGAAACCAAAGTCCTCTCTTCTACCATCTTGTCTCTTCAGAATGACGTGAAGGCCTTGCAAGCCAAGCTTACAGCTGCACGCAGCAATTCTGTCGAGATGACAAAAACGGTTCCTGGAAGCGCCGCCAAAGGACGGGGCCCCGCGGCGATTAAAGGTACGGAGAGCGAGAGCGAGCGAATGCGCATTATGCAGAAGAAAGAGGACCTCTACAGCGATCTCACAGGCCTCATGATACACAATGTCAAAAGCGTGAACGAGGAAGACATTTTTGATTGCATACAGACAGGACGCAATGGCAGTACGTTTCCCACTCCCAGTCTTGGCGCAACGCTAACGGATGACCGGCAGCCCTTCGATTCCACCTCTCAGTTTCACAAGCTGAGACTAGACCGGCATCCACGCCTGGAACTAGCTATGACGAGGAAGAGTTTGCGTATACGCCGATGTTGGATGAGAAGAACGACAGGCAGCTTTTGGAAGTCTTGCCTGATTATTTGACGGAAGAGATTGTTTTTCCAAGGACTAGTGCTGCCAAATTTTACCAGAAAGTCATTGATTGCATGAATAAGAAATTCTTGGACGAATGATATTCTAATGGAGCGGAGCAACTAATGCATCTGGTGGTCTTGTGGAATTAGTGGATGTGGCTTGATATACCCTTCTGGAATTGAGGTCTGATGTCGTAGCACCGAATGACACGTATTATTTTCTTACAAAAGCCATCCTATCTTGGAGCAAGGCTTTGATTCAGGCAAGTTGTCGGTCCAGCTTGAAGCCGAAGTTACTTTGATCGTGCGTATCCTTCGGACTAGATAAAATTATTCTGGGCTTATTGAAAGCGCAGTTCAAAGCTTTGGTGGTAACTTCTGATGCGCTGCAATGCAATATTAGTCACGATGAACGTAATATTTTAAAAGTACTAAAGAATAGAGTGGAGTTCTTGATATACCAAGACTGAGAACTGAACTTTTTTTCGAAGGTGAGGCTGGATAAAAATGTATGGTGCGACTGCACCGCTTTTCCAGTAGTGCCTCCATCTCGGTTGAAAATCTTTAAACGTATGTTCTTGAAGGCCTGCTATCATGTCTGTAGTTGTTATTATTAACGCAACGCTGAATCAACTCCTCACACATTTGGTGTTTACACTTACTTCAAGCGAATTACATTGAGCTATGTCGTGCAGAGGCTTTGACTCAACTGCATCCCTGAATCTTATGATTAGCACTCAAGCCTCTTGGAATCCATCAGATCACACGTGCTTAAGCTTGTGGGTTGCATGCTTGGAACCTGATTGCCTGTGCCGAAAGTGCGCTTTCTCGCCTTGATCAAAATGTACATCAGCGTCTCTCAGCAAATATACGGCAACAATGCCCTGAAATTAAATGCTCTCAGCTTTGCTTCGTTTCACTGTTGAGAGAATCTGGATGAGCAGGGATTACGGAACTGAGAGGATATGATCAGCAACTAGGAGCTGATGGTCTGACCCGGCCATTCACGTGAAGTGTGAATAAATACAGAATTGCAACAAACTAAATGTGATGAATATGTAACGTTGGATGTGGCCCTTCGGGTTTACGTAGACTCTGCATATGCATTTGCGTAAAGATCTAGCCAGCATGTCCACTCTGAGCGCCAACTGTGCTTGTATAACGACTAACAATGAAATACGACTGGCATTAGCACAAAAGGAAATTGAGTGTTGACCTGTAAAGTTTACTAATTGTGGTTCAGCTGTCTTCAACCCAAATTGCAACTGTGATCACTGATGTGTAAATCATGCATATTAATCCGAGAATGATCATGATCACATCACCGAGTTTCGCATATCTCGACTGCGCAATTCCTTTGTAATGAAGGTATGCTGGGTAAATGTAAACAAGAGGAACACACTGTTCCCAAATCAGCATGGATCAAGTTGAATTCAGTCGCGGTCTTACTGCAAAGCTTCCGATTAGACTGACGAATTTATCGAGATCGCCCGCTCCAACCATTGCAATGGCTCCAGAAATGAGCACTACGGTTGCCCGGAAAAAGTTCTTCTTCCACTTTGTCTTTGTTGAGTTCTTTCCCGATCGCCTGCCAAAGAACTTGCCTTCCATTATGCGCACTGCGGGAAATAGCTGAACAGGTTCGCCGACTAAAACGGCCATGCAGTATAAAAACTGCACGGAGTTGACGAGTTTGTCTCCTTGCGGAAAATTGTTTATGATCTCGACCCGTGTGCTTTCCCCGAAAGCGCCATACGAAAGAAAGCCGACGCTTGCACATACGGCTGTTATTATTATCATGACCGCCGTAAGAAGTTTCCCGAAATCTTGTGGTCGCTTCATTGACGACTGAATGGGTAAAATCAAGCCGATGCCCTCGAAGGTAAAAATAGCGCTTCCAATAGTCAATGGAAAGTCTTTTGGATTGAACAGCATCACGTCGCTTCTGAGACCGCTGTTTTTGGAAATCGTCGTTATATCGTAGTAATATATATATGCCAAACCAAAAATGATGAAAATATCAGCAAGCAAAGCAGCTGGGCCCAGTTTGGACACATTACGTATAAAGGATAACGGGATTATTGCTAGTATTTGCAGTCCAATAAGCGTGTATACCGTGAGTTTTGAACTTGCGCGTTCGTGCGACACTGCGTTGATGAAGGAATGTAAGTTTTCGGCAGTGAAGATAAGGCCGGAACAGACGAAACCGATCTGTGACAACGTGATGGACACGAGGATGAGAGATCGTAATCTGGAGCCAGAAATCACTTTGCCTATTTCTCCGTAACCGCCTCTGTGTCGTTTGCGACATTGCAGGAGAAGATAGAAGCCAACGCCTGTGATCATGGAGACTACGATTAGCGTAATCAATGAAAACAAGAGGCCCCCATTCCTGAAAGCTTTTGGCAAGAACATGATGGCAGTCCCTATGAAAGCCTTGAGGAGCGTGAAGAAAGTCTTGACGTTTGATGCATCCCCTTTTTCGGCAAAGGTTGTTCGAGATGTCGACCTGCGACCGAGCAGCGGTCGCTGATCTCCCGGAGTCTCGATTCCTTCTTCCTGTCCATCGTCTTCCGTTTCGATGGTTTCATCATCGGACTCGTGCAAGTCCTCGCCGGCGAAATTTCCATATAGATCCAAGAAATCCACAAAATTTCGTGTAACTGGCCCAGCGACAGTCGTAACACTGTGAAGCCGACGCCGAAGGGCCTGTCGTTGGATGTAGTCTCGGCGAAAGCCGCCAGGTTCGTTTGGGTTGGTTATAGGTATTTCATTTTCGCCGTCGTCCGTGTCTGTTCCTCGCGCAGGAAAGGAGAAAGTTGCAGCTCGCTGTTCAAACCTTGCGCGTTTCGACTTGGCCTCTATTCTGTACAAATCTCGAACCATATCACCGCCCTGCGTCTTCAGGGAGGACTTTAGGTCCGCTGCTTGTTGCCCTGGTAGCGTCGTTGGTGCCCCATCTAGATCTCCTGTAAATTCTGGATTTAAATGCTTCGAAAGGACTCGAGCTTCTCTATCTTGCCGCTGGTGACTTTGCAATTTTGCCGACTCAGAAGAGTTCGACATATTCAAACACGGTCGTCGATTTGGAGGAAGAATCGGAACGACCAGTATGCGATGTCTTCATGCGAAATTCGCGTCGAAAGCAAGATCAAAACGTATGTCCAGACTCTGGAGGTCATGTGATGTGGTTATGAGGTAATGGCGCAGCGGAACGCAATTTAGTTTCAGCCCATAAGCAGACTCAGAGGTGAGTTACAAGAGCAATTCGTTGTGAGCGCCAAAGCTGTGTAACAATATGTCCTGGATAAATTTGGCCGAGAAGCTAGAATAATTTTGCGGTTGCTAGTTTCTGCTGTTGACAAGCGTGTGCACGTCTTGGACATGTGCGGATGGAGTATGCAGATGAACACTCTGATCTACTAAGCCTGAGGGGAGAGATGGCACTTTGCACCTTTATGCGCTGCACAAACCAATGTAGAAGACGTGTAGCTCTGCATACAAAGATCAGAAATTTGAAAGATTTCGAGCCATTCGCGGAGCAGGAAGGTTTCCAACATGTGCTACAAGGGGGACTGACTGCTAGTTCTCCGACGGAACTGCGCTTTGTATGTATATTTTAGCGTCAGAGATACGATCTTTAGGCTGATTTGTGGCGTATTACGCTCTTCTGGAGAAGATAGACACGCTGATGCTGCCTTTTTCCACGTAGCGATGTGTGAGTTTAGGAATCGTCGAGCCTGAGACAGCGGCGAGGAAGGGGGCAGGGCGTTCTCGAAGCTTTCCTAATGTGGCTACGGGCGACGTCGGACTTGAAGATGCATATTCGATGCGTGACGCCGGCCAAACACTGTTTGCCGCCGTCGCCATCTTCTACCCACGCTTCATTCGCGCTGGTCACCGCGCCTTCTTTGAATCGAACACTGCTGTCATCAGCCGCTTCGCGGACTTCAATCGTCTACTTCTCCCATTTTACACAACATAAACCTGGGCTTAGGGTAACGCGAGCGCATCCCTCGACTTCGCGTTGCCACCCAGTTCTAATCATGCTGTACGGTCAAAACCTGCCGTGGAGGGCGACGGCAAGGCGTTCGTCGCAGTGCCTGCGCATATACAGCTCACGTTTGCCTTATACTGCATCGCATCGAGCGTACAGAGGACTGCAGTCCCTAATCTCGAGCAATACCCAACCTATTGCTGTTTCTCCACTCGCATCTCTACTACCCTCAGTTCGCAACTTTTCGACGGTATCAAGGCGATGGAAGGACAAGCCCCCGCACGGCCCGAAGGATGAGCCCGAATTGGCAACGGGCGAGAAGTCGGAAGACAAGGCAGCGGAGAAGTCGGAAGGGAAGGTAGCAGAGAAGTCGCAGGAGTCGGAAGTCAAAGCAAAAACACATTCCACATCGTCATCTAATGCACCTGATGGAAAGGGGTCAGCAGGCGGGACCGGAGGCTCCAATAGCGGGATAGGAGATGGCAGCAGCGGCGGGGCTCCTGGCAGGAGGCGGAAGGGTGAAGCTCAATCTCAACGCGCTTTGACAAAGCCAATGGTTCCAGACGTATACCCACAAGTAATGGCGATACCTATCGCGAAGCGGCCTCTTTTCCCGCATTTTTACAAGACAATAAGCATCCGGAATCCGCAGGTGATCGCTGCTTTGGCAGAGGCATATCGCCGGGGACAGCCCTATGTTGGCGTCTTCTTGCTTAAAGATGACAATGCCGACAAGGATGTCATCGAAAGTATGGACGAGGTGTACGATGTTGGCACATTCTGCCAAGTCACCAGCTTCTTTCCGCACCAAGGAGGTGAAGACGGCACAACCGCGGTTCTTTATCCTCACCGCAGAATCAAGATGAGCGAGTTGTATCCTCCTGAGAGCAAGGATAAAGCTACCCAAACCATCGTAGAGGAGCTTATAGGCGATAAAAAAGATGGTTCAAGCCAGGAATCGGAGAAGAAAACTGAAGACAAGCGCGGTGACGTGGTCCCAAGTTTTGAAGAAGAGGCCGTGGAAGTGAAGGATGATAGGGTACAGAAACGAACACAACAGCAAGACCCGACGTCCTTTTTACAAAGATATGGTGTCAGCATGGTCAAGGTTGAGAACGTGCTAGAGGAAGAGTACGACGCCAGCGACTCTAACATCAAAGCTCTAACGAATGAGATCGTAAGCACATTCCGCGACATTGCTACGAAGAGCCCAATGTTTAAGGACCAAGTATCCACGTTCACCATGAGTCAAAACGGCAACGTTGCAGAAAACCCTTTCAAGCTAGCAGATCTTGCGGCTGTGGTCACGGCAGGAGAACCGGCAGAAATGCAAGCAGCACTTGAAGCAACAAATGCACAAGATAGACTCTACAAAAGCTTAACTATGCTGAAGAAGGAGGCCATTAATGCTGAGTTGCAATTCAAGATCCAAAAGGACGTGGAAGACAAAATCAAAAATCGACAACGAGAATATTGGCTGATGGAGCAGATGAAGGGTATAAAGCGCGAACTTGGCATGGAATCCGACGGTAAAGACAAACTGATTGAGGGCTTCAAGGAGAAGGCTGCGAAACTTGCCATGCCTGAGCCTGTGCGGAAAGTGTTTGACGAAGAGGTCAGCAAACTATCACATCTGGAGCCGGCCGCATCGGAGTTCAACGTCACACGGAATTACCTTGATTGGCTGACCGTAATACCTTGGGGCCAGCGAAGTGCAGAGAATTTCGGTATCCGGCACGCAATGGAGGTTCTAGATGAGGATCATCATGGTCTCAAAGATGTCAAGGACAGGATACTCGAATTTATTGCCGTGGGTAAGCTTCGAGGCACCGTTGAAGGTAAAATCTTGTGCATGGTCGGTCCTCCTGGCGTAGGCAAGACAAGTATCGGCAAGTCTATTGCGCGTGCTCTGAACAGACAGTACTACAGGTTTAGCGTTGGCGGCCTGACTGATGTTGCTGAGATCAAAGGGCACAGGCGGACTTATGTAGGAGCTTTGCCCGGTCGAATCATACAAGCTCTCAAGAAGTGCCAAACCGAGAATCCTCTCATTCTCATTGACGAAGTCGACAAAATCGGCCGAGGCGTACACGGCGATCCATCGTCGGCGCTTCTGGAACTTCTTGACCCAGAACAGAACAGTTCGTTCTTGGACCACTACATGGACGTACCTGTCGATCTCTCCAAGGTATTGTTTGTTTGCACAGCAAACATGACAGACACTATACCTAGACCCTTGCTCGACCGTATGGAAATGATTGAGCTCTCAGGCTATGTTGCAGATGAGAAGATGGCTATTGCAGAGCGATATCTTGCACCAGCGGCAAAAGAGCTAAGTGGTCTAAAAGATGCGGATGTGCTCCTCGAGAAGGATGCCATCACTGAACTCATCAACAAATATTGCCGCGAATCTGGTGTCCGAAACCTCAAGAAACAGATTGAGAAAGTGTATCGCAAAGCAGCGCTCAAGATCATACAAGACATCGGCGAAACGGACCCCGCAATCTCCGAAGATCAAGCCCTGACACCTGAGGGCAAAGCTGCGCAGGCAGAAGCTGAAAAGGACTCTACAGAAGCCAAGTCGTCCTCGGAAATTTCTGAGAAAGAGACGACAGAAAAGCCGCGAATCGCTCTTGAGGTCCCGAAGCATGTCCATGTCCGCATTAACAAGGACAATCTGAAAGACTATGTCGGGCCTCCGATATTTACATCGGACCGACTGTACGAAACGACGCCCCCCGGTGTTGCAATGGGTCTTGCATGGACATCGATGGGCGGTGCAGCCCTTTACGTGGAGTCTATTCTACAGTCTTCACTCGCCGCGTCCGGTACCCCAGGCTTGGAGCGTACTGGGAACCTCAAGCCCGTCATGAAAGAATCGACGCAAATAGCGTATTCTTTTGCTAAAGGTTTCTTGGCACAGCGTTTTCCTGAGAACAAATTCTTCGACCACGCGAAAGTACATCTTCATTGCCCAGAGGGTGCCGTGCAGAAGGATGGACCAAGTGCTGGCATCACTATGGCGAGCAGCTTGCTTAGTCTCGCGCTCGACGAGAAGCTAAGTGCAGAAATAGCCATGACAGGTGAGCTCACAGTTACGGGTAAAGTGTTGCGCATTGGAGGACTTCGAGAAAAAACTGTGGCTGCACGACGGGCCGGTGCCAAAACTATCATCTTCCCGAGAGACAATTGGAGTGACTGGCTGGAGCTCCCCGAGGCAAGTAAACACCCTTTTTTTTGTGCTGCAGATTTCATCTCGATGCTAACGTCTCTCCAAGAACATCAAGGAAGATATCGAAGGCAAGCCGGTCGATTGGTATGCTGACGTATTCGAGATTCTTTTCCCAAATGTCGATACACAGCGGGCCAATACACTTTGGAAAGATGTCTTGAATAAGTCAAAGAAGCAACGAAAGCATGAGCCGAAGAGTGAAGAGGATGAACAGGAAAACTCTGACGATTAAAGACACGCGATCTAAGATTCTCTCGGAGAACGCATTTATGCTGATCTTCACGATCGGTATTGGTTTGCTCTCGTATTCTTAGCGCAGCTAAGCGTGGCTTGCATGCTCTGTATATATTATCGTATCATATGTGAACATACATGCATTTTTGGCACAAATGCATTGTTCAAGTCATCGGGTAGAGGAAATATCTAGACTAGACTAGATTCATTCTTGGGCACAGAGTATGGATTGGTCAACCGTGGTAGTTGATGCTTCCTCCCACAGCGAATTACAAGCACTCCACTCGAAATTGGTATCGTTCGATTCTAATCTAATGCTAAAGAGAAATGGACTGTTCGGCGGAACCAGTGAGATTTGTTACCAGACATGACCGCTCCGTATCCGCAACTGCTTTTATCTGCCCTCGGACGTGTCAAACCCAATGCCAAATCCTGACCGTGCTAAATCAGCTGGTGTTGATAGAGGTCGGCGAGAAGTCCAGCCACCCACATAGCCGTTTCTGATCAAGAGACTTCAAAACCAAGTGAATTCGAATGAGCAAAGGTTGAGATCATTTCACACATGCTCAAAGATCGTGGCGCTTTCCATGGTACGTTGGTTCCAACTTGCTCACCCAACGATGTAATGCTGAGCAATTGTATATTGTGAGGATTGACCAAGTGTAGTTACCGGATCATCTTCGTGAATCTTTGCCCATAGCCGGAAGAACGCATTTTCTGCATGAATGACCCTCGTCACAATGTCAAAGAGGAGATGATATAGCATGTCGAACACATTAGGAAATGTTGGCTGTGGCTCTCGCCACCACAATAATATCATACGAAATGTCGTTTCTTTGATAAAACTCAAGTTGGAGTATGCCTCAAACGCCTTTCCGTACGCATTTCGAAACCTATGCAGGGTTTACACTCGTCATCCCAACTACACGGCGTCTCACCAACGCCGTAATAGTAATAAGCCATATCCATGTCCTTGAATCGCCGCGTCGTGTCCCTCTTCCCCATCAATGGGTATCTGTTGCCATCGAAATTGAGCATCATCATAGACATCATGATCGTAAGGAAAGTCGAATAGAGGAGGGAAAAGATAACGTTCCAGGGTTACACTGTCAATGTAGGGTTAAGCTGCAATGTTACCAGCGAGGCAGCCGTTGGAGTAAGCAATCGTGCTTTTCGTGCCTTTGGGCAGGAAGCCAGGGGCGTCTCCAGCGCTTAGACGTTGAGGGGCGATGCCTCAACCGCAGAAGGCCCTTCCACACTCAGATTCCTAGCAGATCCAGTCTTCTCGACCCCCTCTCCTCGGCACAGAGGGCATGAATTGCGACACTCAGTTAGCCACTAAAATCAAAATTTAGCAATCCCCTCACTAAACATTTGAACAAAACCCCTGAGAGGCAAGAAAAAAAAACATACATGATCGATGCATTCTCTATGAAAGTAGTGGGAGCACTTGACTAAATGCCTCGTCTCGTCGTCCTCATCGTAGTCGTCAAGGCAAATCTGACAGCGCTCGGTGGTGATCTCGATGATATCACCAGCTGTTTCTTCGCTGCTTGCGTACAACCGTCCATCTGAACGACGGCGAATGCGATATAGACCGCGAGCATTCGCGAGATCTGTTTTACTCGCAACAGGCTTTTGCAAAAAGCTGTCAAGGAAGAGCATATCCTCGTAGGTAGGGTTCTCTGTGAACAAGCTCGGTGCGGAGAGAAGAGGATGGCCCTCGGGAAGCACGGCACTGACAATGTAGAAGATCCACGTCTCGTCGTTGTCAGAGGCCTGGCTGTTTTCGTCACTCGCTTCGGACGAGGATTCAGTTGCGTCCGGTACATCCGGCTCCACCATGCCGTTGCGGCGTAGTGATCCCGAACCAAACATCGATCGTGGGCGACGAGTACGGCGCAGGCGCTGGAACGTCTCCTCGAACTCTGGCGGAAGAGGGTCAATTTCAGAGAGGGCGGGCCCGATGAAGTTGAAAATGCGGCGCGGGCCGCGAGGTCTATCACGCGAGGGTGGCGAACGTTCTTCGGAGGACGTGTCTGATCGGGTCGGAGTTGGGAACACGCTATTCTGCTCACTATCGGGCGCAGCTCGCGTGTTCACGCGGCGAATACCGTAGATCGTGATTGTACCACCATCAAAAGTCGTCTCCTGGTGGCCATTGTAATCATGATCGCCGCTTTGGAGTGCGTACGCCGCCAAGAGACGTTGTAGTTCAATCAGCGAAATCAAGCTGTTTTGCGAGGGGTCCGGTGGGCTGATATTCCTGCGTCTGGCAACTGCTTGCTTGTCATTAGAGATTGCGACGAGAGACGAGGTCACTGCGGCAAAGGGAGAGAACACTTACGCATCTGACGGAGCAGGTGAGCTGGGCGTAACATATTTGGAGACGTGGCTGGGGATTGAGATTGTCTCGGCTGGGGTGCTGTTGGAGGGTACGCAGTTGGCAAATTTATGGGCTCAAGTAGATCCGTGTTCGAGGGATCTGGGCGAGCTTGCGAGTAGATGGCAGGTGATCGTGATGGCGGTGTCAGTTCCGTACCGTGGCTGATGCTCGAGGAGCTGGATGCAGATAGCTCGACGGTCGGTCTTGAAACGGATTCAAAAGAACCCAAGGAACTTTCTCCGATCGACGAATGGTTAATAGGAGCCCATGTTGCTCTTCTCGCCAGTCGGTCATCCTCGTATCTGCGACGGACATAATCCTCGTCGTGCGGCTCACCAACCACAGGGAGCGGGCGCAGTCGTCTTCGTCTGGGTGTAAATCCCCGTTCGTATTCCGACTCCTCTCCATCGTCCGTGTCATCTCGTCGTGTGGTCATCCTGATTTCGGCCGGTGTCGGCGGTTGAAACAAGGCGTTGTCGAGCTCGGGAAGTGGCTCATGAACGCTGAGGCGTGATCGGGGCGGAAGGAAGGGTGGAGAAGCTGTGCTATCTGTTGGCGAATGGGAAAATCGAGACAGAAAAGGTGAGAAGGGAGCCTACCATGTCGGGAAGCAGACGAGGTGATATCTGAGAAGAAGTTACTCATCTGAAGTGACAGCCTGCGACGACGAGAGCTCCGAATGTTTGCTCCAGGCTGGTTGTCGACGTTTTGCCCTTGCCCTTGTCCTTGTCTTGTTTCTTGCCCTTGCCCTTGCTGCTGCTCACGCTCCTGGTCGCCGTCGTTGTCCTCACGTTGGTGGGTCATGGAGACAACGTTGCCACCTCGCTCCGCCTCCTCATATCTATTTCGACGGTCAGATAGAGTGGTGGCAGCTTCTTGGACGTACGAGACGCGGTTTGTGGAAGCCGTCGAATGGACGGCAAAAGGCAGAGTGCGTCTCGAGGATGTCGCAGGAGCGACCTGATCAGGTGTAGCAACTGCAGCGAAGCTGTCATGGTCGCGAGATCTGGCGATTATGGGTCGGCGCAAACGCAGACGACGGAGGAAAGAAGGTATCTGCATGTGTAAGCGCGAGGCGCGGGAGTTCGAGTTGGAGAATGATTGTCGGTTGCCCGTCATAGGAGCGCCTATGTCACCGTTGCCGTCGATAGGGTTGGTACTGTTGCGACCTGATGGCAGTGACACAAACGAACTCAGCCGACTGTGCCTGACGTTTGCTCTGGCAGGTTCTGGCGCATCGGGCTGTTGGAACAGGCGGGCGTCGCCCAGCTCAGGCTCATCCATTACGACATGCGAAGCGCCAAAACAGCAAGCATACGCTCAACGGAAGTCAGACACAAGAGTAACAACGCTCGCAAGTGGAGGGGGGAAGAGATGCAGAGATATGTACTTGTGTGTTCAAGAATAAAGCGAAGGAAGGGGACAAAGAGGGGATGATATCAAGCCAGAGGAAGATGCGGAGGAGTGGAGAGGATTAGAGGACCGAGAGGACACTGTTGGTAGGTGAGAGACGCTGGTCTTGGGTTGTGTTTGGAGCTAGTGAGGTCAGTGTGGCCGATGGCCTGTCGGATTGAGGCTGAGGTGCTGCAGCAGATCAGCAAGGGATGGATCGGATGTTGCAGAGGAGGCGGCAGCGGAACAAGCGGCAGCAGTTGTAGCAGTTGGGGCAGGCAGCGGGCAGCGGCAGCGGCAATGGCAAAAGGCAGAGGCAGAGGCAGAGGCAGAGGCAGAGGCAGTTGGGTAGATGTCGAAGAGTCAGAGATGGAACTAAGCACGTCGCTGAGAGGACAAACGACGCCCTTTTGGGGCGCGGCGAGGATGGAGGGGGGGGGTTTCCAGCGGGTTCAGCGGGTTTAGTGGGCTCGACTCACTGGGGCCCGGCTGCGGACGGGAGCTGGAAGCCTGCGTTGGGGGGGTTAGAGAGGGCGCACAGTGGGGGGGGTGGCCCACGGGTGTCGCAACACTATTCCTGACAATCCTACCAGCAGCACCAACAACAACAACACAGGCCCCCCAACACTGCAGATGTTCAATTTTCACATCCACCAACTCCTCACCACTCTGCCCGTCCGGGTGGGCAGGCCTGAGTCGTGTCTGGTCACGGTTGCGGTGGTATCGTCTTTGGGCCCGCACGACACAATCGACAGCGATGCCGACGGCACCGGCCAGCCAGTGACGTGCCCGTTACTCAGCTTCGAAACACAGCAGCCAGATTTTGTGACCTGTAATCTGAACACCTGTTCATCGTTGATCAACGGATCCTTGACAAGCCACACTCGACTTGCCAGCGGCAGCCTCCCTCTCGGTCGTCTAGTTTTCGACTGACGGACATCGCCAGCCCGCTGCCTCGTCTCCAGGACGGCGACGCGACACACGTCAAAAGTCGGACGCTGAAGCATTTGCTCCACTCTTGCGCGTGCTGCAACGCAAACCCTACACTCGGCTGGACCGTGGCCCAACCTGGTGCCAGCCCAGGCATCGCATCGTCTCGTCTCGGAGCCGCGCCCTGCGCGCTTGTCACGTGCTCGGCGGCTGTCGAGCCTCTTTTGGGCCGTCTTATCTAAGCCAAGTAAAGCTCAAGTTTGAGTTTGCTGGTCAACTCCGTCTCGTACCGGGAAGACCTTCCGGCCTCCCTTCCTCCGTGCGAGCCACAAATCCGTGGTCGAGTAAACCTGCGCGAGGCCTGAGATATGCCAGCGCCGCATGTGTTCGCATTGCCGCATTCTCGGCTCGATGACCAGACTCGCCCCGGTGCTACAGTGCGCAGACCACAGCACGCTCGGTCCCGAAGACCTCGTCGGCAGGTCTGCACGGAAGACGAAGGCGTTGATGACGATGACGAGGAGGACAACAAGCGTGATGACAGCGTCGCCACCCTCTCTCCCGCTGCCAAACTGAACAAACTTTCGCGTGATACCGTAGCATTCACGTCACTTACTGCTCGGGAGCACGCACAGCTGCGAGCGGCAGGTCTACGACCTGGGCAGGACGTCCCACCATTTCCATTTCCTCACAAACGGCTGTCTAATCGAGGCTATATCTTGCGTGACGTAAAGAAGGAACTTGGAGACCTAAAGCCGCCGCTTGCCCATCTGGATCGGAACTATTACGAGCCTCAGCCGTACAAGACCAACAGAGAACGCACCACCTTGCGCGAGCAACATGTCGCTGTGCTTACCACGTTGCTGCATCAAACCCTGCAGAAGGGCGACTACAAACGCGCCAGTAGAGCATGGGCTCTACTCCTTCGCAGCGGCTATCTTGCCCGTGACACAAGAAACAGGCAAGGCGTTGCTGGCATGGATCTTCGCGCCCATGGCCGATGGGGTATCGGTGCAGAGCTGCTTATGCGAATCCCCCGACCAGCCACGGAAAACGCAGGCGTTACTACCAATGCTGGCTCTGACAGCCCGTGTGATTATTCTGAGGACGGCTTTCGACTCGCGAGGCAGTACTACGAACGCCTCATTGTCCAATACCCACTGAGCAGTGGTCGCAAGGGCGCACAGGCGAACACCTTCTACGCTGCTATGTTCAGCATGTGGATCTATGAGGTCAATAGGCGTTACCATGCCGATCAGAATTCTCAAAGAAGATCCAGTCCACCGAGCACCACAAATTCGAGTCGACGTCGTAGCGACTCTGGCTCATCGACACCCACTTCTCAAGCAGATGGTGAGAGTGAGAGCGTGCTGCTCCACGACGTGGAATCGATTGCAAAACGCATGAACGAGGTCATCGAAGTGCCGCCATACGACAAGGATGCCGAACTTTTGCACATGCGTGCTATGGTTGAGCTGTGGATCGCAGACCTGGCCAACTTTTCTGGCAACAAACGAATAGAAGCCATGGCCAAAGCAGCTTCCTTCTTCGCTCGCGCTGAGCAGAATGGACTTGAATTGGAGGAAGAAGCGAGGCGAATAGTGGCGAGCTATTACAAAGACAATGAAGAGGATGAGGAAGTAGTCATGGAGGCGGATAATGACGAAGATAGGCCACATTCGGATTCTTCTCAGTATTGAAGAAATGTTGTCTTCACCAAATACTATGCCTGTGCCGATTCTATTTGCAACTACGGATTGAGAACAACCAGTTGGCCCAATTCACCGCCGCGCTTATGTGCGAGATCGAACGCTTCCTTCCATTCTTCCAGGCCGTATTTTCCGACGACCTTGACGAGGTCTTTGATATTCAGGATTCCGAAATTCAACATTTGCAGAAGCGCAAATATGTCGTCTCGAGTGTACATCCACTTTCCTTTCAGAGTGATGTCAAATCTCATAATATAACGGTGGGGAACCGGTAAATCGTCCAACAGTCCACCCATAAGACTCACCCGTCCACCGTGGCGAAGCGCCAGCATGGCGGACTTGAAATGTGTCGACTTCTGTGCAGCCGCTGGAGAGATGTCAAAGAATGCGTCGATACGACCGTGCTTCCTGAGAGCAGCGACTTCGTCCTCAACGTTGCCAGTAATGGCTACGACAGCCACCTGTTCCGGATTTAGGCTCTTGACCCTATCCAGCTTGCTCGTGTTCCTGCCCATAGCGATGACTTTCGCACCCATTGCAAGTGCCACAATCACAGCTGCACTACCGAAACCACCCGTAGCTGGCGCAATAATAACAGTCTCACCCGCCTGTAAGCCAATGCTTCTCAAGCCGCCGTACGGAACAATGCCTTGCAAAATCCAACCTAGCTCGTCGATCTCATAACATAGACCTCCCTGCTCTTTTGGGCCGCATAGTCGCTTTTCGTCCAAGACGAAACAGTTTTCAAGAGGCACCTTAGCGTACTTTGCAAAAGTCCCATCCCTCCACTCGCCGTGCATGAGCTTTCTGCTGCCCTCGGTGCCTCCCTCCGTAAGCCCGAGCAGAAACAAAGCTTCATTATCGTCTCGGCCTCTGATCAAGCAATCTATAAACACGAGGTCGCCCTCCTTGAGCTTGACAGCATCAGGGCCGACGGCGACGACGCGGCCGATGGCCGAGGGGCCGGGAATCAAGGGTGTTGGGTACACATAGCTTGAGCGGGTGCCATCGTACACTTCTCTCGCGTACGAGATAACCGGCACAGAGACGATTCTCAAGATTGCTGAGCCCGGCGTAGGCTTAGGTGTAGGCACCTGCTTCAGTTCCAGAGGGTGCGTCTTGACCTCTTGAACGAGCGCTTTGTGGGTCGTCGGTAGCACGTTGCTGGCGGACATGACTGCGTTTGACTTGCAGAACCCGTAGACGTTGGAGCATTGGTATGCATATTCTATACGACTGTCTAGGCTTAATATATACATGTTCACCCGTAAGCACGTACGCGCCTCTCGTCGCGGTTGGCATCTCGGATATAAAGCTATATCACTGCGCCGAGTGAACTGAGCAGTCCTTTCGATGAACAGATCCCATGTACGGAGCTAGTCCAAAACATACAGACCAGGCTAAAGATTTCTTTACACGCTAAGCCCGATTCTTAAGGATTTGGTATGGTGTAAAGTCTGCGAGCACGGCCATAAGTCGGGGTTTGTGGCGATAGCCCAACTCGAATACATCTGCTGTTCAAAACAACTCGGCCTTCTCGGGACAGTCGGACGCAGGAGGAAGTTCAGTTACCGACCACGTGCCCTATACGAAGCGACCAATAAAAACAGGAGCATGTGCACAGAGATTTGAATCAAGGCACTGGATCTTGGTGTGCTCGTTGGTTCTGATAATTACTTGAATACGGTAGATGAGGTGACTACGAGTGGTCGTTCCATTCCACTTGCTTGCGTGCGGCCGTGCGATTGCGAACTAAAAGTCTCAAATGTCACAAATACGAAAGTTGACGTTTTCGAGCATGTAGGATATTGAACTAAGAAGTGATCTGGATGGCACAAGAAGTTTAAGATCAGGTCATTGACGATTTTCATATGCCAGGCATTCAAGTGCCACAATCTTTCGTAAAGCAACTTGACATGGAGATATTTTACGCCTAAGACATGTAAGTGTTTTGCGAAAATCTAGCTCTGGACGAGGGTGCAATGCCATTACCCTTCAAAGCTTTCCTTTCTTCTAATTGGTGGCATGCGACTCTTAGCTTTATGCTCTGTTCCAGAGCATGTATTGACGCTTCCTTGGATGTTTGCATTATTCTACTTGGTGACTGACTTAGGATGACTGAGAAAAAAATCCCCGCACCGTCTGCTCCAAGTTCGGCACCTCATAGTCATTTCAGATCTACTTTTCTCTACCAAAGGCAAACCCCCAGCTGGAAGAGCCTTACTCTTGAGGCAAGTTCGCATTCTAAACGCTATATCATTTAGATCCATCATTGCTTCCAGTAGAGTTTGACACGAATCTTGAACAGAGGTCTGGATCAATCTCTCTGATCCATTCTGATGATAGATTGTCAACAACAAGACCAAATCTAGATCTCGAGACAGGCCACAAGTAGAAAAACCGGGTAGATGACAAAGCAAGCTGCTACTATGTATATGAGACTAGAGAGCTGCGAAAGACTAGGCGAAGAGCAATGAAGGAATGAAAAGCGGAATCGCAGATGACCATTAAATCCCATCAAACGGGATGCGATGTCCAAACGTGTGTGGACCCCGGGATTAAAAAGAAATCCAGAACGGTACTTGGTCATGACACATTGACTCTTGTCGGTACGTGAGAAGCTAGAACAGCATTTGGTCTGTTCTTCGCGTGTAACGAGAAATATTCTAAAGTAGAGGCGACGGTCCACTGGCAGCGGGTCAACATCATGAATCACAGATGCACATGGAAGTGAAAGGAAAGAATGATGGCAATCAAGCCTAGTCTCTTGAGTAAGAGACGGCGACACCAGTTGAGAAAACGTTTCTCGATTTCATGCCTACCAGACAATTTGCTGAGCGGCCACGTTACACCCTTGTCCATAAGAATGATAAGTTTTTCCCGTAATCATGCCATTGACGCCATTGCACATGCAATCAATCTAGTTGCGGGAGCGATCGCCGAAGCGGCGTGGTCGGTCGATAGTCTGCTGCTGCGAGACGGCGACGACGTTAACCGGAATGTTATCGAACTACACCATTGTTAGCCATCGAGCCTCCCTGCCACAAAATGATGAGGAAAAGACGTACGCCCATGGCCTTGAGCATGTCCTTGGTCTCCTGATCAACATCGAGCTGTCCACTCTCCGAGTTCTGGGTGAAGTCGAGTGCCGAGACCTCCGGCACATATTGATCCTTCCTCTCACGTTCTTCTTCCTGCAGCTTGAAGGAGATACCGCGTACAGGTCCACGCTGGATGCGCTTCATCAAGTGCGTGGTGTAGCCCGCAATCTGTGGGATTATGTCAATTTTCTGTTCTCTCTACCCGTGATTCTACAGATATTTACCTTGTTTCGAAGGCGCTTCGAAGCAATGATAGCGATCTCATCGCAGATTCGCTTGTTGGTCTCGAAGTCGAGAGTGAGCTTTGGGTAGTACCGCCTACATTTGTCCGTTTAGCTTATGCTGTCGTTTTATATGCTCCCATACGAGGCGACATACTCAATGATGACCTTGGCGGACTTCTTGACGGTCTTTGTTCGAACGCGACCCATGATGGCGGTGTTGTGGTTATCAAATTGCAGTCGCTACAACTCGAAAGTGTGCGAGGCGGAGATTTCGCAAATGTGTGTTAGCGCTCGGACCATATGCCAAGCCTTTCGCCAGTTGTGGATTCGTGCTCCAACCAAGTTGACTGAACTTAAGGTTAACTTAGTCAGCAAAGAGCTCATGGTCACATGACTGGCCATGCACTTTCAGATCAGAACTTGCAGCAGGATGCAAATACGCAGCTCCAGTTCTTGTGAGAGCAGTCTATGAGCAGTAAGTCGAACGGTGACAGCTATCTTGGTCAAGAGTGGTTTCGTCAGAGCAAATTTTGTCCAACCACAGTGACGAGCTCTCGAAATCATGGCCGTTGTTGACGACAAATCGGAACATTGCGTCCGCTTTCTGCTTGAGCAGCTACAGGAACGAAAGAAAAAGCACGGTGAAGGGGCGCCGCCCTTCTTTCTGGGTCTGAACGGAGTCCAGGGTGCCGGCAAGACGACGCTGGTCAGTCCGTCGCTATTCTACGAGAATATGACATTTAGTCCGCAATCTCGCTGCTATAGCAGGCAAATTGAGCAGCGAATGTGCTGATATAAGGGGATGTAGGTCTCTGGATTGAAATCGCATCTATCCTCCGAACCGTACAATTTTAATCTGGCAGTTCTCTCTCTCGATGATTTCTATCTCAAACGTTCAGATCAGGAATCTCTCGCTTCAGCTCATCCAGACAATCCTTTGGTCCAGCACCGCGGCCAGCCTTCAACGCACGATGTGGAACTCCTCAATAGGACTCTGCAAGCTCTGCTCCGACGCGAAGAAACTAAGCTACCTTCATTTGACAAGTCACTTCATGCAGGTGCCGGAGATCGAGCAGATCCAATAACATGGGCCACAGTAAATGCTCCAGGTGAACGACCAGTCGATGTAATCCTTCTGGAAGGGTGGTGCGTGGGCTTCCAGGCTATGACAGACATAGCTCTGGAAGAAAAATGGCGTGCTGCAAAGGACAGCGAAGAACGAGGAATCGGGACTAGCCAACTTGGCAAATTAAAACTATCGGACGTTCAGTTCATAAATGACGCTCTCCGAGAATATGAGGGTGTTTGGAGAATGTTCGACGCTATAATTCACATTGACGCTGCCGAAACCGTATGGGTGTATGATTGGCGACGAGAGGCCGAAGATGAGATGAGGAAGGCAAAAGGCCCTCAGAACGCAATGACTGATGAGCAGGTTAAAAAATTCGTCGATGCTTGTAAGTTGAACAGCTTCGTTGAGGGAATTCGATGTTCGACGCTCATCACTCGTGTAGATTATCCAGCCTACGAGCTGTACACAGAGGCTCTAAGAAAAGGAGTGGTAGGTGAGACAGGAAAGCAACTGAGACTTATCGTGGGCAAAGATCGTCGCGTGGAGAAGATGGTGTTAATTTGAGCTCTCTATCCTCGTCGCTATGCTACAGCTTCTTCCGATATAGCTCTCCACCACAGCTTCGGAGCCTGGCAGCTGCTTGCTCTGGCGTGATATCTCGTTGCGGCTCAGCCATCATTTCGTAGCTACCTATCTTCAGTAATCTATCTTTGGGCGGTCTACTCATGGCTTGTACTTACCCAACAAGGAATTTTCTCACGGTAGCGCTTCGAAGAAGTGGTGGGTAGAAATGCACGTGGAAATGACTGGCCTCGATTTCCTCGCTTGTTCCTTCTAGCGGCGCTTGATGCAAACCCATGCTGTATGGAAAACTGGTCTCAAAGAGATTGTCGTATCGTCTTGTAACTTCGGCAATAGCTTCAGCGAGCAACATTCGTTCGCGATCATTGAAGTCTACCAGTGCGCGCTTGTGCTCTTTGGAAACGATCATTACTTCAAACGGCCAGGTCGCCCACCAAGGGCACACGGCGAGGAACGAAGCATTTTCGTAGACGCTACGCTCACCCTTCGATTGTTCCAGAGCAGCGTAGTCGACAAGGAGGTTTGCACCTCCGTGTTCATCACGATACTTCTGCAGTTGTGCCAATTCAAGTGCAGGCTCTTCAGGAAGGCCGGTCGTAGTCCATACTTGTCCGTGAGGGTGTGGGTTCGAGCAGCCCATAGCTGCACCTTTATTCTCAAATATTTGCATATAACGGTACTGCTCCTTGGGACCCTGGATATGGGTGTTGTCTGCAGTCTCTGGCAGTCTCGTTGTCGGGGCCACATGTGCCAACGGCGACATCGGTGATATATGCGCTGCGTATATCTTCGTCCAGGTGTCGATGACGGGCAAAATCTCGACGGGGGACATGTCGGCAAGCGTGCGGTTATGCGCCGGATTGAAACATATTACATAGCACTTGCCTGTGACCGGCTCGGCTCGCAGGAGTCGATTTGCGAGGCCTAGACATGACTGAGAATTTTTTTTCTAATATTGACTTTCGAAGCGACGTACTGCCGTCTTGTTCCTGTGGTTCATACGCAGCCTGCTCCTCGCGAACAGCACTGTAGTCATTTACAAACACATATGTACTTTCGTATTTGGGGTTCACATCACCCTGAGCACGTTTATTCCCAGGACAAAGATAGCACTTTGAATGTGAGCTTGACGACTGGACATGTCTAGCTGTTGTCCTATTACTTACTGACTCGTCGTACTGAGGTAATGTGATCTTGGACGCAGGTTCCTGTTGGCCTCTGTAATGCCTGTTAATCCCGTGGTAGTTGTAATTGAAATATGTACGCACTGCCAAGGGCGCTTGGTCCTATGCGGGGATACCAGAATCCAGCTTCCTCGTAGTGGATTATATCTCCGATGAGAGATGTCGTTCAGAATCTCGTCAGGCATGCTTCCAAGCTCCTCCGAATCGATTCCGGTAAATCTTCCGTAAATCTGAATAGTGTAGCGCAAGCTTTAGTTGCCTCTAATCGTGGCTATTGCGAGGAAGTTGAATGTTAAAGCGGGACGAAATCCCCAATCGCTGTCGCATCCAATGACGAAGTGCTCGTGCGGCAGAAAATTTAAGCTCATGCAGCCCAAGACCAGGGTTTGCTTCTTAGGACCTGCTCGTCGAAAAGACATTCATAGAGTGAGTGCTAGTAAGCCTGTGGTAATATATTCCTGTCACCTGACTCAGGATCTCAAGTACCCGGCATGAGCTGTCTGGGCAATAAATATCTACATTGGAGTCTAAAATCGTCCTCGCCTTGTCTGAATGTTCGTATGATGCCTAATATAATGTTCAACGAGCGTTATACGCGTTCGCGGGCCCCAGCTACTACGGTCTTCAAAAATTCTTCCGATAACGTAGAGCTATTGTATAATCACTGTTGTTTCTGCATCTTACGTTTTACGTGAGTCATGTTTGGAGCAGAGCAAGAGTCCACAGATAGGTGGTTACTTATCAGCCTTGTTTTGCTAAAGTCGTCGTACCCCTGGTGGCGCATCCCGTAACAGGCTGCAAGCTGTCCGCAACACCAGATTAAGTCCATTGGAAATTTGGTCGTCGATCGCAACGACATCTCCCACGGCAAGACAGAAAGGAGATTTTGAGAATGGAAGCGTCGGTTGACACAAGAATTGAACAAGATCTCATCGACCCAGATGATGGTATGTGTGCTGGACCGTCCGACCGTCGAGAACTGAGCGCCATTCGAACACAATGCTAATCACTTTGGAGTAGCTGATCTGAATGAGCTTGACGATCCGCTCCAGCCAGTGAGCACATCTGACCGCGCCCCTCTCACAGGCAACATCCAGCCAGCCGGCGGCTCCTCGTCACGAAATGCACAATCCTATCTCTCTAGCGCTATTGGCGGTGAGGATCGTCGTGCGCCTCAGAATACGATCGATGAATCCGTGTGGGAAACACTGTCGAGAGACTTGAAGGCGGTATGGGAGAAGATGAGGCAAGTCCTATGGCCGAAGTACCTTCTGGGTGGAATGCTCATGCGCGGCGGAGGCGGGATCGCCGGCGAGGTAGAGAGGGGCGAGGGCCTTCGAGGCGTGATGGGAGGGCTCGGAAGATGGCCAGATGCGGATTCTGTACTCCAAGGAAGCATGAGCGAGGGCTTGCGAGACTGGGACCTTTGGTACGTTGCCAAATCTAACCAAGTTTGCTTGCAAGTGGTTTTGCTCACACGTAAATTACAGGGGGCCGCTATTGTTTAGCCTGCTTCTCAGTTTCCTCCTGGCAAGAGGAGCAAGAGAAGAGCAAGAAGCAGCTGTTTTCTCTGGTGTTTTTGCCATGATATGGGTTGGTTCTGCCGTGGTTACACTCCAAATCAAACTCCTAGGTGGCAACATGTACGTCATGTTCTCTGGCTTTGTACGTCAGCTAATATGAAACAGTTCATTCTTCCAATCAGTCGGCATTATTGGCTACACTCTGTTTCCCCTCACAATAGCCGGACTACTCTCTTCGCTCGGTCTCTGGATGATCCTGCGCATACCTATCTACATACTTTTAGTTGCATGGTCGCTCGCAGCGGGCATAAGCATCTTAGGCGGCTCGGGCGTTGTACGGAACAGAGTTGGTATAGCAGTATACCCTCTGCTGGTATTTTATGTTGGCCTAGGCGCACTGTGCTTCATCACATAAGCATCGCTGGAAAACTAAGCCCACTTTTTTTCATTTTGGATCATTGAACCTCAATTGAAAAGGTTCATCGATTTTGCAGGCGGAATAAGGGAAGCCAAGGTGTAGCAATACAGCAAAACATATACAGCACTTCCCACCCTTGGCCCTGTTCACATTCACGTTGTGGTCCTCACTTCCCGTTATTCCCTTCACAGCCATGTTAATCCATTTCAGATTCCCGGACAATTGAATTCATCCTAAAATGCACCTCGCCAGCCGGTGTATATCGCCATAGAAACATTAGTTGATGCATGCGGCATGACAGTGCATGAAGTTGTGATGAACGTTTGAGGCGAGCTGTATGGAGTTTTTGGGTCGCTTGTGCATAGGCGAGGTGCATGACGCTGGCTAAATGTTCAACTACTGGGACCGAATGAAATTGCGCCTTCAGACCCCTTGACTTTAAGGGGCGCTAGGGTCAATTGCAAATGAGAGAAAGGATCTGAGTTAGCAAGAAACTGAATTCTATAAACAAAGAGTCGAAACAAATGATCCGCAAGGCCAGTGTATTGCATGCAATAGGGTATTGTCGTATGAGCACTCGGAAGAAATTAATGTGCTGCGAACCCATGCCCTGATGACGCCGATGCAACATGCGGATGCCCAAATTCGGATCCCCGTTGCCGAGAGCAGCCTCCTCACCAGAGAACACCGCATTCATGAAGTACGTCGTTCGCATTCAGGCTGTGTGAAAAAGACGCGCCTAAGTGATAATTGTACGACTTCTCTCGAGCGTCAAAGTTTCGTTCGTTCGTGGCATTCCAACAACGCCGATCCAAATGCTTACCCGCCTCCGATGTGCGATTGTACCATGCCATAACGAGATTATCTCACAGGTTTGGGTGGAAATTTGAGACGGAATGCTTTGTCTACTTGTATGCTTAGCCGTGGTTCATGTGCCCTGCACGTAATAGACGTGGATCCAAACCTTTTGTCTTGACTCTGTACATAACCTCGACAAGACACTCGCTTTCTGCAACTGACGTGTTCTTGAAGTGCTTTCGCACGGCGGCAGCCAGATCTGTCTTCGTATTTCTCCTCTTCTCTCGTTCTCGCGCCATTGTAGGAGACCTGGGGCCGATGCCCGTGGCTAATATGTACTGTGCTGAGGCGTTGTAGAAGGCCGATGCGGAGGGTAGCTTGTAGGCATCGCGGTACTTGATCAGCAATTTGCGGTCTTCTTGGAGCCAGTCGATCTGTGGAGGTTTTGTCAGCAATTTCCAGATACTTCCTTCATCTCTGCTGTGCGGAGCAAGCGAGGAGGCGAAGGATGAACTTACGCTGCCCGTGTTTGAGCCATTCTGGTCTGGACTAGACGTCTCGCTCCCGTTTGCGAGATCCTTCGAGCCGGAACGCACATCGTCAGCCTGGTTGCACAAGGCGGCGTCAGTAGTAGCATTGCCATTTGCTCGTCTTCCACGGCCAGCCAGCTGTGCCTGCGCAGCGAGCTTCTGCTTGGCTATGAGGTTCGCGTCGTTACAAACACTGGTCTCTGGTGCAGAGCGCTTGGGCGGAGCCATCGTTCGTTCCTTCAGGACGAGTGCAGGATTACATGGGTAATATGTGAGGCAAAAGATAGATAACAGCAGAAAGCGAGCTGCAATAAGGCCGTGCAACAGCCGGCAGGACAGGCTCAAGAAAGGGACGTTTGTATCGCAGGTCTTCCTTTCAGACACTGTAATTCACTGGACCAGACCGAGTTTTGAGCATTCGCTCGACTCGAATTCCGACAACCAAGCGCCAGAACCCTTTTCCAGCCCAGACGGGACTAGTGGCAGGGTCCAGGGTGACGATGAAGTCATCGACTAGTCCCAATTCGATCGACCGACCGGGGTTCCAGCCTCAGGCACACGCGACAAGCGCACTTGCCAGGCCGAATTGTCAACGCTTAGTCAGTCACGGTAGCGTTTTAAGTTACTGTGTAACTCAAGATCACTTTCACTCAGCTTACTTAACGAAACGTATGAAAAGTGAGGACGCAGCTGCTGCGTCGGTGTTGAGTCACGAACGGTCCATAATTAAGTAGAAGCATTGCATTGTGCATTCCCAATGTTGTGCCATCCGCTCGTTGAGGTTTTGCGCTTTCCAAATCAAATCTTGAGCCACATCTGGTCTAAGACCTGTTCCAATCGACACAACCACAGACACCCTCGCCACAATCACATCATGAGCATGCGGTTCAGTCCCTCCTCCTTCGAGGAGACATCACGCAACACCGGGCCATATCGGCTCTGCACCGATTTGCCTTCCCTTCTGGCCCACATATACCGTTCTCGACGCTTGCTCCCCCTCGGAATACATGACTCCGTGATCATGAAGAGCCTGCATGAACATCTCCGCCTGGCCATGGTAGTGAAACTCTATCCAATGCTGTTAGACGATTTTCTTCCATAGCACCACGCCACGTTTTCAAGTCGTAGACGTACGGAAACCAGTCTCTCCGTTTGGCCCGCCCAGCACGAGCTCGAGTCCAAAGGGCGTTGGAAGAAATACATGGCTCTTGTGCGAGTAGATTTGTGCGCCAGAATACTGTTTTGCGAATTTGGCAGCGCTGGCCTCGTCCTCAAATACGAGAACGGGACGTTTATCTGCGACATGGAAGAAAGCGTGGACGACTTTCTTCGCCGGTGACATGATGAAGATGAGGCTGAACCGTTAATTGGTTTTTGACGTCTTGATGATTACTGTTGGCCCACGCAATGGAATTTGTTTGCTTTTCAGAAAAGTTGAGATTTGAATGACGTCCGTTGAATTGCTCTTCCAGCCAAACATCTTATGCGCGGGTCTTTACACGGCATTTTCCCGGAATCCGCGAAACTGCTGGTCCTCATGTCTCTCATTCGCCAGCTCTTTTCATCGTACGATCGGCAATCGATTAGCTCGTGATTTTGATGCTCCCGAATCTGAGCGCACTTCAGCACTCTTCCAGCACGTGGGTTGGCAGTCCTCTGACATTGGCCAAGAGTTGCATTTCCCAGCAGGAACATTTGACTTCTACATTTATCATCGAATGAACCTTTACCTCGCGGATGACGAAGCTATAACATTGCGATTACACAGCATGCAAAATGTTGGGTGTTGTGAGCCCAATCGGACGACCGATTTACTCTGAACTTGATTAAGAAACTTGTTTGGAAGCAGATAATCTTCACAGTTGAGACCCACACATACCGGCACTGCACGGCTGGCGAAACCTCGAATAAACTTCTGTATCTTTCATTCTCACATAATTTAGCTACGTCAAACTCGTACGTCGTAGTCGAGCATTATCCCGTACTGCTTTGAACAACTAATCGAATAATCGAGATTGTGTATAATAATGTGTACGGACTTTAAGCTGAAACAGATTAGGCTATTGACCCTGTCATTACACACCCAACATTAAGAAGACGTATTCGTTATTTCGGTCTTCGTTGATGTGAACAGGCCCGACAATCAATATTGCAATCTCTTGCGGCTTCCATCGGTGAACGGCGAAGGGACCGCTAAAGGCGCAAGTTACACTGACACGCTTTGAGTTACCCGTCATACCCAAACTCAAGATACTGCCCATTCTTCATTCACGTTTCTTAAAGTATGACACATTTTACAAATCCTTTCTTAACTTGGTGGATAACTCACGCTGCAAATTCGAGGGAAAGTTGGTGTTGATTTATTCAGTCTCCGTTTCTTCCTGAAGGAGCAATCTTATAACAGGAAGGAATCAATAATACACGCAATCCATAACTCCCGGTGGGGGTGATACGTCTTACAGAGAGGAAACCGATAGCTACGATTTGAACGTTAACGAACCAAAAGTGATGGACGAGGTAAAGAATGGCGAGACCATCAAGAGCTCACGCGTGATGAAATCACATAATCTTCTCTCCAATCACCTGAGCTCTGACGACATTATTGAGAGACTTCGATGTGCAATGATAGATGAGCTTTCAGAGCTTCGCTGTGAACTAGACGCTTTGAAAAAAGGAGGATGGAAGATAGCGATCGGTCCATTCGTGCAAACAAAATTATCTACGGATGCCGATCGAGAGCGAATTCATCACTGCATTGACGAGCGAACTAACCATAAAATCAAGCAACTGGAGGCTCCCTTTACGATTCCGGTCAAATATGACGTAAAGAGTCCAGATTCTATCCAGAATTCTTGGTGCGTGCGAGCCGTCTGTTGTTTTGAGTTGAGTCGCTAATTACAGAATTATGAGATTAGCTCACCCAAGACTTTCGAAGCAGAAGACGTTAGACTTTGGAAACCTGCGTACATTCGTAGCTTGCAGCCATTCGTATACCGTAAGCTCCCAAGCCCCAACAATATGATAACATTTAGTTGGGAATTTCTTCATCGAATATTTCGCGGGGCTATGGAGCACAGTCCAGGTCTTTGGTATATTCCACTCAATGCCGGTAGAGCACTCATCACCGGACGCACGTTCTACGCCATTGATGCCACCACCGAGCCATACATGCCACGTTCCCCGTGTGACCATGGTGCGAAGATAACTGGATTCTACAACAACAATCCCCCGGACGACGGTGGCGAGATTTCCTACACTGATGTTCCACTTTTCATCACGGGTAGTGCTTGGGTCCAAAACTGTAAAGCCAATGAGTACATCTACTTTGGTAACTACAGTCAAACACGGTGGAGCGACAAGGTCAGCTACGGAGAGTTTCATGATCTTATACCTGATCACATCAAGGACTTCTGGGCGGCGCAATTTGCAGATCCTTCGCGGCCCTCTTGGGTATCCAGGGAGCTGATGAAACATTTCTTTCCCATGCCCGAATATGATGGTGCTATGCCGAGTGCCACCTCGAAACCCAGTGTTGGTACTGATGAGTACGAGACGCAACAGCGTATAATGCAAAAAGACATGGAATATTATCTCGAAGATCTGAGTCACTGGGAAAGTAACGCGAAGAAAAGGGTTGGTCTTCTGAAGAAAGAAGACATAAGGAGGGCCTTCGAGAACGTGAGCATATTTCAGCTGTATTATTATTCAATGAAAAATTCTAATTTTGCGCAGGCCGATGCAGATGAGAGTCCTAGTTTACGTCTCTGGTGGGAGTATCTTGAATGTAAAAGCTGGGATCGTGCATTCTACGAAACTCTTGTCAGAGAGCAAAACAAGATGATCACTACGGGTTGACCCCTCTATGGAATTCGTGCGAGGGATGATGAAACTAATGAACATAATAAGTTGAGACGCTTTCTTCAAACATGACAACGCCACAACTCTGAAAGATTTAAAAGGTACAGCTCAAAATTCACCAGAATCGAATAAGAGACTGCATTACATGCTGATCCTGGTCTGTAGGATCAGCTTGTACATTCTGAACTCATGAGAAACCATTCCTTCCATAATTCAAGAAAGATCAATAACTCGTGAATGCTCTTGTCAGCCCATTGATGAGTATTCGTAAGATCGTGATAAATAATAGGAGGAGTTATTTCACACTCGAATAGGTGATCCATTGCTAAATCCATTTGAGCTATTCTATAATGCACTGGATTAAAGTTCGGTGCTTAATTGGCGGCCATCGTAAATTGCATTCCACGGCTCAAGTCCGCAAATCTCGAATCAAACATATCCCACAGGTAATTTCCCCTTGCCTTCCACGGGGCTTGGTTCGTAGTCTTCGGTAATCTATGTAGTGCCGTTAAAATATATGTGCTCGTCAGCCCCATCAAGGCGGGATTGCGTATCACTTGTTTCTTATCTCCACCGTGGAATTTTGGGGTTGCGCTCGTGATTTTCTTTTTCTCCATGTATTTGATTAACCGCATAAACATGTTTGCAGTGGAATCCGCACCAAGCGTCCACGACGCCATAGTATATCCTTGAACGATTGCCATATTCGGCACATCCGAGATCATAATTCCGCGCCAGAGGAACTTGTCTCCCCAGACCAGTTTCTCGCCATCCACGTAGATGTCAGCATTTCCGCCATACTGCATTCGCAAGCCTGTGGCAGTGACTATGATGTCGGCCTCGATCATGCTGCCGTCTTCCATAATGATTTGGTGCGCAGTGATAGTTTTGATGGTGCCGGTGACAACATCGGTGTTGCCCGCGCGAAGGGCTTTATAAAAGTCATTATCAGGACAGAAGCACATTCGTTGCTTCCACGGATCATAGCGTGGTACAAAGTGAGGGTCGAATTTGATGTGTTCGGGTAATTGCTTTTGTGTCAGCTTCGCAATATACGCTCGCGCGCGAACAGGGTCGCTGAGGAAACGACGCAGAAAGATGCCACCGATCAGATAGCGAACGCGCGTGAGCCAGTGAAACCAGCGATCTGGCAACAGCCACTCCCACCAACGTCGCTTGTTTGTACGATTTGGAAAGCCAACAATATAAGTCGGGCTTCGCTGGACCATGGTCACTCTTGCAGCAGATTTAGCCAGCGCCGGAATGAGCGTTATAGCAGTGGCGCCTGAGCCAATGACTGCAATCTTGCGATTGCTGTAGTCCAAGTCTTGGGGCCAGAACTGCGGATGAACGACCTTGCCCTCAAAGTTGTCAATCCCGGGAATCTTGGCTTTCAGAGGGTTGTTGTAATCGTAGTACCCCGTGCCCATGACCAAAAAAGGGGCCCGGTAGAATTTTATCGTCGTCGAACCATCTGGGCCGATAGCTTCCACTGTGAGCGTCCAAGCCTGCTCTCGCGAGCGCCAGTTCGCTTCTTTGACTTTGTGCTTGTACAATACATGCTTGTCGATGCCATGCATGGCTGCGGATTCTTTCATGTACTTGAGAATCTTGTAGCCCTCGGCGATTGGCTCCTCTTCCTCCCATGGGCGCCATGCGAATCCGAAAGTATGGAGATCAGAGTCAGAGCGGATTCCTGGGTATCTCATTAAATCCCAGGTGCCACCTATCGCCTCCCGCTGTTCCAGCACGACGTAGCTCTTGTTAGGGAAATGTTGCTGAAATCGATAAGACATGTTAATGCCGGAGATACCCGCGCCGACGATGATGAAGTCGAACTCCTCAATCGCTCGCCGGTCCACAAGCTTGAACTTCTCCTCCTCGGGGATTTCTACCCCGTCCACTTCAACTACTGCCTCATTTCGAACGCGCTCAGAAGCCATCCCGAGCAATCATCAACAACGGAATTATGCAGATTTCGAAAGTGGCCGAATTAGGATGCTGTTCTACCATCATGGAATCTGCCTCCTTATTAACCAGATGCGCGTCGGGCTGGCGGGCATCAATTCTCCCCGAACGCGACTAAGCACAGCCCGCATCTAGGTCGTCTCGCTTCGATTGCCCAATCAAGGCTGGACTAGCGCACCCCAGAATGAATAGTGCCTCGGCTCTATGACTACATTTCGAATCGGGGGTTCGGTTGGAACGCTGTTGAGGAGCTTCTGCAAGATTAAGGCCGTAAAAATCTCCTCTCTATGAAAGAAGCGGTCGTATTCAGCCACCAAGATCCATTGTCAGGCCATTTAGGGACGCTGTTAGAGAGGGATACACCGAGGCGAAGGCGTCCAGGCGTGAAAGCGACGCGTAGGTAAACTGAGCTAGGGATTTAACGTTCATCCTAGTTTAGAACTAGTGCGGCACCATCCCATCACGTGATATTCAAAATGGCCCCATTTACGTCGTACTGAGGATGATACTTGAGCAGACCTTTGAGATCTTGATTGGATTCATTGCTTATCCCATGGTCCTAATCCCTATTCCTTAGCCTTTGTATTGGCTACCTTAAAAGTACTATGCACGTATTGGAGGAACCTTAGCAGGATACAAATGAACGTACTATTTATTGGCTAAGAGAAAACTCTCGTCTCAACTTAATACGTATGTTTATTCTCCTAGATGCCACATTTGGCCCTTGATCTAGCCTATTCCTCCTTTACACCTTACAGCAGCCTTTCTGTTGACGGAGGCAAACAGCACCTAAAACAGCAGCCCGCGTTAGTCTATCTGAATGAGACTCACTATCTGGCTTGAACAAGTACTAAGGATGCCATTTGAAATATAACTCTGCATACCATGATGATGGATAGGTGGTGGGACTTTATCTACAGTAGTTACCAGAATCTGTTAAAACGCCATAGCCCAAAATCAGCCATTCTTTCAGTCCCTCTAGGGTCAGAGTATCTGAGTAGAAACGCACTCCAGTCAATGGACCCACCCGTCTATCCGCTTCATTGTCTTCTCATCGCTATGCCCGGTCAGTCCAATGCCGAGATAATTAGAGCCAATCTCATTGGAACGGACTAGACACCTTCCGCTGCCCCTTCACATCTGTCTTTTAAAGGCTGGGCCTCTCATCATCTTTGGATGTGTTAGGCGCAATTGACGATGAGAGTATGAATGATGATCAGTACCTGTTGCTCGACTGACGTCTCGGCAGCACTTCAAAACCTTACTCTGGACCTCATTTCCCCATTTCAGGCCCGTCCTGCCTCTGCTTGCTCCGCTCCAGCAGTGGCCGCCGCAGCCTCTTTAGCGATATAGCAAGGCTTCTTGCATGCTGCAAGTTCCGAAAAACTTGACGCTGAATGTGTCAAGACACTCCTGAATGCTGTACTCAGCAAGGGGCCAGATGAAGGTCTTTGGAGAAAAGTTTACACTTTGGTCACCGAATCCACCCCTCCACCACGTTCGCCTCCGGTTATTCGACAAACTCCATAGCTACACAACACAAGCAGCTTTGAAAACTCCTCTGAACATGGAAAATACGTGACAATATATTGATATTTGGCAAGTTGACGTGACGGATCATGATTTTCGCGAAAACAAGCCTATTCTCAAGCCATCACTACTGGGCAAAGTATGAGTTGTCTCAGACCTTTTGTTTATCCATATTTTCTGTATCGATCCAAGTGGAATGGATGATAATGCTGTGCAGGCAGTTTACCGTGTCTGCATTAGCGAAGCCATACTTTACTTCAAGGCTGGTTGATAAATAATATTATCAAAAACGCGGCATCGTTAAAGCAGAAATCTACTGATTTGATGAGACTAGCTGTCACGGGACAACCCTGTGACATATAATAAACTCAGACACCATCCAGCTGCCTCGGTTGACCTTAATTTTGGTGAATAGTACTGGTCGCTAGACTTAAGACGTCTGAACTAGGAAGAGCCCAATAAAACCATGCAATATTTCTGTCCGGAGAAGCTAATCTTGCACTCTTTCCTGTTTGTGCAACTTTTGGACCTCCATACACTACCTTAGCTGGTGTAACACTGCTAAGTAGAGAGTTGATTCCCCAGTTCTTTTTATTCACGTGATAGCTTCAGTGGATCACTTCCAGCAGTTTCGTGACAATCACAGACAACATACCAGGCTACCTGCTCTTCTATTCTAACCTATTTGTGATACTAACTACCGTAGAGTAGCACATTGTGCAGCTTTCACTTAAAAATTTCCATAAGGATATATGCATCAACATCTAGATACATAGAACATTAATAAGAGCTCTCACTTTCTGCTTATTCCCATCATTATTGTTTATTTTTGATGCACCTACTTAGCATTCCTCGATTTTTCGTTGTGTCGCTGCACAATGATCCTCTCTGTTGGTCAACCATCTAAACACAACACACATATTGATGAAACAAGTCTACAATCCTGAATACGTCGAAAACCAGCACTCTCGAAAAGGGTGTTCATATCTCGGGCACGGGTGGGGAAATGAGTGGATACCTGCAAATGGCACCAAGAGCTAATATTATACAAGGTTTGTCTTGGCCAATCTTGCTTCCTTTTTCATATAGTATAATCTCCACACTGTTGGATAGTTACCAAATGCTCAGGACATGAGTCACGCAATAGGTCCGCTGCCAGGTACAGATAATCAGAATATACCAAGCATATATCGCGTGAACAAAAACTCAAAGAGAGTATGACTTTCCGGGAGAAGAAATTTTGGAAGCATAAAGCGTACCAAAGTCACTTCATGTTTCAAAAGTGTGGACTGCTCATACTAGCTTTGCCAGGCCACATGGTTTCTTCAGCCAATATTTCAAGAGATTTATACAATTAGCAGCTGGACTCTGGTAGAGTACACGCTACCGCAATGGAATTTACCATATAAGTTTCGAGGGAGAAGTGACACTAAAGCCACGAGCGCCCGAAGGACTTTCTCAATTATATTTTCGTCACTGAATCCTCATAACGATGTCATTCTCCGTCGAGAGGCTATCTACCAAAATGAAATATGGACTCGTCCTAGCGGCTTTGACATTTGGTGTTTCCGCTAATGCATCTCAAGACCGATGGCACGAGTGCAAATTTGAGCTTAACGCCCAAGGTGGCGTAAACGGATGCATTAGTCAAATAGAAGATGGGCAGTGTCGAATCGGGAGCAAATATCCTGCGACAACGTTTGTGCTTGATAAAGATACAGGCACTCTGAGAGATACAAAAGGTCGCGGATGTATCATAACATCGTGGGCACCGCATCAGCAGATACAGTGTGATGAAGGAAAGACGGGTGAGTAGGAATCCCGCGCTGTGCTTTCGTTTGACTGATAGCATGTTAGGATCTACAGGCTGGACCATTGAAAATGGAGAATTGAAACATGACGGGTGCAAAGATTTCGCAGCTTGCCCGGTCAATGATCACGGCGAATGGAACATCTACAAGTACGCGATCAAAGATCAACTCAAGTGCGTCGGTATACATTTGAGGGCTAGCTGCAGACCAAGAGCAGAATGGTCTAAACAAACGCGGCCTGAGTGGCAAGTGTCAGAGCCTCAATGGCTACCAGAGAAGCCACAGTCACCGCCGACAAGACCCAAAACTGAGATGCCTAGTTCTGAATGGGGAGAACAAGGGAGAGGCGGCCACTCCTCAAAGACTTGGCCAAAGCCGTCCCCCTCAGAGTTGTGCTGCCACGAATGCTCTCAGGGGAAACATTCTGCTTGCCCGAAGTCCTGTTCCAAAGATTGTCACACGCCCACTCCACAGCCTCGACCAAAGCCCTGTTGCTATGAGTGCCCGAAAGAACCGGAGCATGAATGTCACAAGTCTTGTGATAGGAAATGTAAACCAGCACGGCCATCAGATGAGTCTCGTCATCCGAGGGTCCACGAATGCTTAGAGCAATGCGATGGAGATTGGAAGTAGGTTTCATCGCGGAGTTTGCTTCTTCAGCTTCCGAATCATCTAACTTGTCGCAGATGCGAGGAGTATTGTTATAAAGCTGCGAAGTGGCCGGAGATTCCATCGCATTCGGAACACCCCCTGTGGTCAACTTCTGAGACGTGCAAGCCATGCAATAAATGCCGGAGTGGCGACCGACTTTGCTTCAAAAACTGCTCTTCGCATTGCAAAACTCCTGGACCTAAGTCATGTGAAGAATGCAAGCCATGGTGGTTAAAGTGCAAACAAGAATGCGTTCCGAAAAAGCCGTCTCATCAGCCTTGCGACAAGTGCAGACCGTGGAACATAAGTTGCAAAAAGAATTGTACGCCAAAGCCAAAGGAGAGGCCTGCTTGTTGCCAAGATTGCAGTACAAAAGACTGGAAATGCCATGAGTCTTGTGACAAAAGATGCAAGTCACCACGAACCGTGAAGATCAGAACAGCCTGTGAAAACTGTCCTCGTCACGATGAGGATTGCAAGCTCAAGTGCTACGGTCCCAAACCACCAGCTTGCCATAGCTGTAAGAAGGATTCAGAATGCGAAAAGAAATGCTGGGACAATTTCCCACCCAGAACAACCCCAAGTTGTTCACATTGCAAAAATTGGGATAGAGAGTGCTTCAAAATCTGCATTCCACCTAAACAAAAGCAACACTATGGCAAAACACAACCATACTGCACCGAATGCTCCAAGTCGGATAGTTACAAATCAGAGAAGACTGAAGGCAGACTGAGCTGGAAAGACGAGTCCAAGGAGAGACCCTCTTCTCCGCAACCTTGTCACGAATGCGAGACAAATGATAAATATTGCCACAAGTCGTGCAAGCCATCACCATGCCACAAATGCCATCCAGAGAACGGCGAATGCAAAAAGACTTGTTGGAATGCGGAAGACAGGACAGAGTGGGCGAAGCCAAAGTCCGAATTTTGTCACAAGTGCCCACCAGAGCATTCTGATTGCCATAAGTCATGCAAGCCGTCACCCTGTCATAAATGTAAACCAGAGCATAAGGAGTGTAGGAAGACTTGCAAACCTTCCATGTGTCACAAGTGCGAGCCAAAAGATTCCGAGTGCAAGAAGACGTGCAGAAATCCCGACAGGTTTGATCCTCCGTACGTAGGATTCGAACCGTGGCCAAAGACTGAAGACACCACTTGGTCGAAGCCATTTCCAAAATCCTGCGACGTTTGCGAAAAGAAAGATCACAATTGCCAAAGTTCCTGCATATCGCGAGAAGCCTTGCAACGCTTCGTGACACGATGGCGAGATTCAACATCGAACAAAGTCGTCACTGATATGAGCGGTCATCAAATCTTTGAGCACATAGCGGACGAACTCGATGCGGCCGTTGAGTATGACGGAGAAACCAAGCTTGAGTCATCACCGAGCTTCGATTCTGGCGAAAATTCAGAGACTACCAAGAATTCTGAAGATTTGCTCGCTGGGGGAAAGGACGCGCACGAGCCTGATGTGAAGGCAACCTCTTCCGAGGATAGGGCGGCAAACGGTGGACAAACCGAAGTCAGCGATATTGAGAATCCAGTCGCTAATCTGACTTTCCAACCTATTCGACGCTCAGAAGCCTCCACTCAGTGTCGTTGTGCCGAAGGTGACAGGAAGTGCATTGCGAAGTGTGTTGCTGCCAAAGTGGAGGAGGTCGTAGTTTGCCAAGATTGTCGCGACAAGTGGAGCTGTGAAGAGGCTAAAAAGTGCAAACCCGTCAAGCCAAAGCCATGCGACATCTGCGACAAGGATAAAGAGGACGAGCAGACGTGCAAGAAAACCTGCTATTTGAGGACAATTCCGTGCGAGAAATGCAGCCCCAAGGACCGGGTCTGCCAGAAGAGCTGTGTCCCACAACACGAGGAAACCGTACCTTGCTGGAAATGTCCAAAGAACGACTGGGTATGCTTAAAGCACTGCTTCATATCTGAGGATAGTGACCATCAACCTTTCTGTTGCGATCATTGTCACAAGGACAACGATGCCTGCCTTAAGAAGTGCCAGAAGAACTGCAAACCTCGCATTCCAAAGCCACAGTCTTGCTGGGACTGCAAGAAAGACGACATACATTGTCACAAGCACTGCTGGATCCCAGATAGACCACAGCATAACCCTTTCTGCTGCCATGACTGCCACAAGGAGAACAAGGTTTGCCACGAGAAATGCGACAAAAATTGTAAACCGCCAGCGTCAAGTCCACGGCCGAGTTGTGGATGCAAAAAGGATGACTTGGAGTGCTTGAAGCGTTGTGAGTATCCTGAAGAGCGTAGGCATGACAAACCCAAGTGCTGCCACGAGTGTCCCAAGGAGCCAAGTCACCAATGCCACAAGACGTGTGACAAAAAATGTAATCCAATGCCTGGGGATACAGGTAATCAAGAAAAGTGTGTGAGGCAATGCAACAAGGACGATTGGGATTGCAAGAAAGCGTGTAAAATTGCTTGGAAATCCGATCGGCCTTCAAAGACTCCGCGACCTTCCAAGCCAAATTGCCATAACTGGTGCGGTGAGTACGATAAGGAATGTCAGGAGAGGTGCTGGGAGAAGTCTCATCCACACGCTCCAGATCACCATGGCAAAGACGCCCCTCCATGCGAGGAGTGCCATTCCAAGGACCTCAAATGCCATGAGCATTGTCAACTGAGACACAAGCATGGCAATCCGCAACACAATCAAGAATCTGGTCTAAGGCCTCACTGGAGCCATCCTTGGCCTCCACAAAACAGTCACGTCCCGCCGCCAAGCTGGGGATCACCACAACATTCTGAGGGCAAAGTGCCTGGACAGCTCTTTGGCGCTTGTCCTGCCAATTTCGAAGGCGAGCACCAGTTCCCCACCAGCGTGATTCCGATCTCAACAGCAGAGCTGAACAAAGCTTATGGCAACCAAGACGCGTACATCGACGACAAGGTGAGCTCCGTCTTTAACTTCGAGCTGCCCGTCTCGTTCGCCGGAAAGACGTGCTCTCTGTTCTTCTTCTGGCCCCAAGGTCGGACAGATATATGTACGTTCTCCGGACAAGGGCTGGCGAGCTTCGACCTCGTTGGTAGGGCCGATGCCGCGACTACGTGCGCATCCAGACCGCAAGTGTACAGACACTTGAACGACATTCCCATGAAGCCAGGCACCACATACTGGATTGCTGACCATCCCTGCACCCCGGGACCGGTGTCGTTCGAGATTAGCGGCAAGCAAGGGTTCGCTTTGACGTTTGCCCAACACCAGCCCATTGGGCTGTATATTCGCGCGTGTTGACACGGTAGGTGTCCCTCTGCAGCTTTGGCGGTTTAATTCCATTGCTCACCACAGTTCATTTGACGCAGCGGGTACATGCGTGCGGATGCAGCAGGACATCGAAAGCCAACGCGATATATTGCAAAAAACCAGTGCTGTCAAGGGGACGACTTTGACAAGGTTGAGCTGAAGGGCGAGATTTTGAGAAGACTGAGCTGAAACCGTGGGGGGAATATATTTGCAATTTGTACTTAGGATTTGTTGATGATTTTAGAAATTGCACTTACTGGATCCAACTTTAAACGTTCGATGAGCCTGACGGTGGCGCGAAGTGAACTCCTCTCGTCTGTTAAGAAGGCCGTACGCCTGCCGTCGTTTTTGTCAGGTCATTCTCCCTGTTAAGATTGAGAGACAGTCTGGTCGACGAAGTAGGACAAAGTCTGTCACGCCGATACCGCCTCGTCGACGTACGTGACATGGACGGCGCACCCGTCGTCCGCGACATCACGATACCAACATTGCCTTGGCACCGACGTCGAATTGTCCGCCCACATAGTTCTACGCCTGGTCGGATCGTGGCAGTGAGGACAACAGAGCCTAGGAGCATGTCTCGCTCGAAAAGCAGTTCCGCGCCCACGCCGAACGGGTTTTTCTCATCTTTGATCGTGGCGTTGCACCCGCAGGACTAGCCTTGCGCGCTTCTTGAGATGCTGCAGAACAAGTGCCGTCACGCGAAGTTGGGGTTCCAATCGCAGGCCGCCATGTCGACGTTCACGACGAGGGTGCGCGTCCCCACGTGAAAGAAGAACAAAAAATGAAGCGAAACAGCGAAGCAAAGACGTGTGGTCAGCAACGATGCGAACAGCCCTTCGTTCACCGAGGTGCAGTCTGCGCGGAAGAGCACACGAATTGCACGAGGCGCTGCGGCTGGCGACGCCTGCGCGAGGGCGATGCGGAACGAAACGCGCCGCGATGCAGAACAGAAACGTCGACGGGCCTTTTCGCTTCTGTTTCTGCTCGTCCCTCTCCGTACGGCTGAATGCCAGTGCAGCAAACGGGACTGGCGGCCAGGTCAAACAGCCTCCCGCTGCTGGAGATGGGGGGCATGTGGTACTACATCCTTAGCGCGGCGGGTTATGGGGACGGGCGACGCGGGAGCGACGGCGCGATGCGAGGCTGCTCTAGCGACGGCGCGGGACATGAGGTAAGGCCGTCCTCATCGAAGAAAGTGGCTTCCGTCGCAACGATCGGTAGCACCCACGGCAGACACTGAAGACGCGAGGAGTGAGGCGCCTGCAGGAGTAGCGGTGGGCGGTGGACAGTGGGCAAGCTGCAGGTTCATGCACGTCGCAGGGCGAGAGAGGCAACGAGCACAAAACCAAAGATCAGGCTGGAGACGACGGGCGGAGTAGAGACGGACGGTGGATGTTGTGAAGCTGGATGGTACACGCGGCAGCAGATGGCGAGTTGGCCCGCAGAGCAAGTCCACACGCCGAACCGGCTCCGTTCGAGGTCGTTGTACGTTCCTGGCGCCCAAGAAGAATGACGGGCGTCTCCAGAGCATGATTCTCAGCATTCTGCGGACGGAGCTGGGCGTGTTTCTTGTGCGCTGACAGGCCGAGATGGCCGCGGCCAAGTGACAAGTCGCAGAAGAATGCGGTCGCTCTGCTCCGCCTGTACGGCGTCAGCATGCCCATCTTCGCCTCTCCGTGCGCAAGACGCCGTGTGAGGTCACTCTGCAAACCTTTTCCCCCAGCTGGCGCTATGATTTGATCGAAACCCGTGGCCGTCTGCCTGTGGGATTGTCTCGATCCTTGTCACGCATCCGTTTGACAACGCACAAGCTGGAATCCCACACGTTGAAAAGCAATCCCGTCGAACCTCAGCCCGACTGCATCCGCTCGCTGCTCCCCTTCCACCATCTTTCCGGACGGACAGGCACCGCACAAGGAGCCCAAAACACCACATGCCGTCTGCTCTGTCCGCTTGCTGACCCGACGCTGACAGCCGTGTCTGCATCCGGAGCGGGCCAGCACAAGACGCCCATCGCCAACCCCGGCGTGTGCGGGCCATCACACTCGTACCGACCAAATTCTCCTCCGCAGGCGATTTGCATGCATCGTGAGCAACGCTTCCCCGCGGCACAACACACAAACACACCATGAGCATTCGGCTAGCACACAGCAGCACGCTTCTTGTCGCCTCGTCTTTTCGGCCATTGACCGCACCCGCCTGAAACGCGTCCACCCGTCTGTTTACCGTCTCGCTTTGTCCCCCGAGTTACCAGCCCGCGTAGTCCACTCCATCGCTCCGTGGAAAACACCACCGGCAATCCCGTCGCAGTCTGCCCGCTACATGGCGCCTAGCTCAGGTGCCTGACACTGTCCACGCACTTCTCAAACACAGAGCTACTTCGGGGGCCTTTTCATCCAGCTTGCCCAATGCCGCATCTCTTCTTTGCCAACGCTGCACACGTCGACAAGCCCGCGTCCGAGCGCTCGTTGCAGGAGGCAAACTGCCACGACGACAGGTCGTCTGACAAGGAGAACGCTTGGGGTCGCACTTGGAGGCAGATGGGGAACTGGCTAAAGAAAGAAGACGACAAGGAGGTCCCGGCACAGCCGACGCCAGCACGCGCAGGAGACGAAGGAGAGCTGAACGAGAAGGTGCCCTGCCAGGATGCTGTGTCGACGGCGCCGACGCATGCTGTGGTCCCTGGCTTGCCTCGCCCTCTCACATTCAAAAGACAGGACTCCGAGCGGAGGGACCGTCTGTATCCCCACGAGCCAGATCACGAGGAGCGAAGGGCATCGTCTGCCGACCGACGACTGGGATCCAGCTATGAAAGGAAGGCCCCACAGAGCACACTTCCGCAGCTGCAGGCCCCATGCCCAAATCTGGACGTGATAGAATCGTCAGCGGGCTCGAGCGATGTCCAGCACGCCCCGCACGATTTGCTTTCGACGGCGGGGACGCTCGACGACGAGAATAGCGATAGGCATGATCAGGACCAGGACGCCCGCTCGCAGTACGACTGGGCGCATCACGACCTGCTTCATCACTCCGAACAACTTTCGGACGCTCTCGACGAACTTCAGATCCAGTCTGAACTCGAGGCGAAGTGGATACTAAACCTTAGCATGCACTTCAGAGACCGCTCGGACCGCGAAAAATTCTTCATCACCTATGCTGAAGAGCCAAACAAGTGGAGGCGGGTCACTGTGTCGTGCGACTACCGACACGCGCCCGAGGACTCGCTCGAAGCTGACCTCAAATCCCTGCATTACCAGCGCGACAAGAGTGCTCGTATCTACGAAGCCATCCGCGACTCTCTTCCCCAGATCCAGTTCTACCCAACCGTCACGAACCTGAAGTTGGAGACGAGCGACGGCAGGCTGCACGTCCATGTCACAGAGGACGTGAACGAGATCATTCAGTACCCTCCTCTCTCTTCCGTCGCTCACCTCGATCTGCCCACTTTCTCTGAGCGAACCATTGAGTTTGACTGCCACATGTCCGGTTTTGTCTACAAAGTCAAGACGTGCGACGGCGCTACTTTCATCAAGAAGGAGATACCAGGTCCCGAAGCAGTCGAGGAATTCCTGTACGAGATCAACGCCCTGAGCAGCCTGCGTGACTCCCCCTACGTCGTACATCTCGAAGGCCTCGTTGTAGACGAGCGCAGTAACGTTAAAGGTATACTTCTGAATTATTGTGAGCAAGGGGCCTTAGTCGATTTGATCTATGATCTACGATACACTGACCAACTGACTTGGTCGCGGCGTCTACGTTGGGCCCGTCAAATCGTTCAAGGCCTTGCCGAGATACACGAGGCTGGTTTTGTGCAGGGTGACTTCACCTTGTCCAACATTGTCATATCTCAGTCCGACAATGCTCATATCATCGATATCAACAGGCGTGGTTGTCCCATTGGATGGGAGCCACCGGAGCTGTCTCGCCTCATTCAGGCTGGTCAAAGGATCAGCATGTACATTGGCGTCAAATCCGACATTTTCCAGCTCGGAATGGTTCTTTGGGGGTTGGCAGAGCAGCAAGACGAACCGGAACGTCAAGAAAGGCCACTTCGCTTCAGAGACCCAGAACTCGTTCCGCAGTGGTATAGGGAGATTGTCGAGATATGCCTTAGTCCAACGCCCCGGGAGAGACTGTTGGCGAAGGAGCTGCTGGCTAAGTTTCCACCTATTGAAGAACTGACGCACAGTGACGATCGTGCGCCAGCGAATAGTGCACAAGTGCCCAGTGAGCCAACAGATGTCGACGCGACAATCGAAGAGAGTGGAGGTGATCTAGACCGCGAGGACGCAATTCATCTCCCTATACCAGCCCCAGATTCAACAGTGTCCAGCACCGATCAACATGTCGACTACTTGCTAGCCTCACCTGAACCTGATAAGCGTGCTGACTCAGCTGCTGCATTATACAACCACATCGAGCCGGACGGGCACGTGGACAACAATACACCGATGATAATCCCAACTGAAGAGGCAATATCCTTGAGTTTGCCGAAAGAGAATGAACGCAGTGCTACCTCTCTGCATGTGGATGAACCCTTGATAGGGAACAGAGAGAGCTCTTCTCCGGCGGTGTCTGCTGCTGAGCAGATACAGCTCAAAGAAATGCCAGCGGCTACGATACTTCGCGACGAGGCTAACTCCACCGAGCATATTATGCCGCTGGATGCAACTCTATCGCATGGCTCTCAGTCCGTCGTGGATTTGGTCTCCCCGCGCATCAGCCCCTCTATACCTGCGGTTGGGCCCCAATCATCAACCTTCTGCCCCTATGTCCCTGAAGAGAGTAAAATGTTTAGCCCGACTTTGGAAATAAGTTCGACTGACGCTCGGTCACATCTCAGCCCGGGGCTAAACTCAGACAATCCTTTAGCCACAAGCACAACAATCTCATCTGCATCGCCTCTACTTAAACCCGACAAGCAAAACGACCCGCATTCACCACATCTCTCTGGACTTACAGCTAAAACCACAACACCTGTTCCGAACGGCATCCACCATAATTGCGGAAACGAGGCTATTGATCTTGGCAGCCCAACGCTGGCTACACTTTCTCCTCCGATTGACAATAATTATGAGCGTAGACCGTCACTCAGCCTTGAAAATTCGCACTTTTCTAAGACAACTCCTGTAACAATACCCACGAGCTCTCCACCGCAATACTCCAGTCCAGTAGATTCCAGTTCTTCGACCAATCTTGGAAACCCACCTCTGCCTACCGTGATGGCCACAATATCCTCCGTTAGTCTTGGAGGACCCCCATTAGCGACTATCTCACCATTACGTGAGCTGGATGCACACCGCACAACTACAAACACACTTGAAACAACGGATTCCCTTTCTGAAAACAAATTAGAAAGGAAATGCCCGATAAGTTTAGATGTGCCAGAGCGTCAAGGCTCAGCAATCTATGGGCCTTCTCAATCCAGCAGCGATATGTTGACATTACCTACTAACCAGACTTCTGCAGCTGAGAAACATGCTGATGTTGGCTCCAACGTAAATGAGGGCAAACGCCATTTGGAGGCAAGTACTTGCACGCCTTCCGCATAAAAATTACCATGCATGTATAATCTGCATTCACTTTTTTGGGAACAAAGAGACATTAGTTGGTTTTTTGGGGGCAGTATCGACTTTTTATTCATGCTTGTTTTGGATACCACATCGACCCATACATGGCGCGGTATACTATTTCGATGGGCGGCTGTAATCTGCAGCACCTTCAAACTTCAGCGTACAATGCTGATTACGTCAAGAAAGAATATTAAGGCATTTTGGTCACTGGCTCCTGGCTTTCTCCCATCAGTTTCGAAGGATCTTCGCCACCTTTGCAGTTCATTATGAGTAGAAGTTCGTTCCGCTCTTGAGCATTCTGTAGAAACAATACCGTGATGAGAGGCGCCTCTCAGGAAAGTAAAGTTAGATATTTGGAGGCCGACACTTTTTAACCGACGGCATCCTTTGGTCACTCTATCGTTCCAGTATTCTCCACTTGCAAAGTCTGCCGCTGCGGAACTTGGAAAGTAACACTGAAGGAAGGAACAAAATACCTTGCTCGTCCCTATTGCCCTGATCATGGTGGTGAGCCAAGCTGAAAACTAACACGAAACAGGACAAGCACTGCATCGAAATTGTTTTTGCAATATAATTTGATAATCTCGAAGCTTTAGGCTCGTAGGTTTTGCTTTGCTGAGCCAGATAACTATATCTGCAGCCGAATAGGCGACGTTGGGTTCATGCCGGCAAAAGCCCCTGCTGCGGTGCCATATCCAATGAAAGCATTGCTGAGCGAGGCCCAGTCGACTTTTTTACTTTGCGTCAAACGACAGCAAGGTCGTGGTTATCTTTGCCCACGCAGTCGCGGATGAAGCACTGAGAGTCTGAAAGAACCGCAAGGCCTAACATGTTGGGGGTTTTTTTTTTCAATTTTACAAGAAAAGAACAGCAAAAAGCCCTCCGTTATCGAGCCTGAGTATGTTTGGTGCTACAATTACGTTTACGTCGCGTTCCTCCCACACATAGGGGTCATGGGAGTGGAATTTGTAGGGACCGTGACATCAGTTGTATCGACCTCAAATAGCGTCACAAGCCAATCCTATCGCGGAGCTCGAACAATGTCAGCCCCCATAGAAGAGTGACTTTATTTACACCTCGCCCAGCTGAAAAAAGAAAAAATAAGGGATTTTTAACAAGACGGAAGTATCTCTCGCTGACGATGAGCGCTTCCGTGCACACTCTGTGACGACTAAACGCAAACTGGAAATGGAAGTCGTCTTATTCATTGTTTGCGATGGAATTGCTGTCATCAGATCGAAAATATTAAAAACATCCAATTGATACAAGTACATGCGCCGCAATTTTAAAGCAACATCGTCCGTGAGATGACCCCTTCCTACGCCTCAGATGTGGAGGGAGAAAACTAGACACACTGTTTTTTTTTCCTTTTCTCTGTGATGCTCTACAGCTTTGGGCTTGCACCTTCAAGCAGCTCGGCTCCGCCGCCGGCGATGGCGAGCTTGCCAGTTTCCACAACGGTGACCTGGAAGAGGACTTTGTTGCCCTCCTTCCACATCTCCGTCTTCAGCGTCTGACCTGGGAGAACGGAGCCCGCGAATCGGACCTTGACGTTCTTAATCGGACTATACGCGGGGGAAAAGGAAAAACGACGGTCAGCAAACTCCGTAATTCAGCGTGGCCAAGAAAGGAAAATGTGACTTACCCGTAAGCCTTGAGAATGTGCTTGACGGCAATGCCGAAGAAGCACAGACCGTGCAGAATCGGCACCTTGAAACCGCCGACTTTGGAGAATTCGGGGTCGATGTGGAGAGGGTTCCTGTCGCCGCTCAATCTGTAGAGGGCAGCCTGCTCCTCCGTCGTCTTCTCCTCGACGACCTTGTCCGCGGGCCGCTGAGGTGGCTTGTTAGGGGCCGTGGCGGCGCCGCGGTCCTTCATAGCCCTTGGGCCGCCAAAGCCGCCGGAACCACGGACGAAGACGGTCGACTCGTTGTAGAAGACTTCCTTTCCGGTGTTCTTGTCGATCGTGGTCGTGCCCTGAACCACGATGCCGGCATTGCCCTTGTCGACAACGTCGATGAGCTTGGGGTACGTGACCAAGGTGGCTTCCGTGGGGATCGGGTACTGCTTGATCTCCAGGTATTGCTCGCCATGAAGCAACATCATTGGCGAGAAGTTGGGAAGGATTTCGTTGAAGCTGAAAGGTGGTGTGGCTCCGAATGGTGGGATAACACCAAACGACGGGATGACCTGGAAGTTTTCGTTGTTCTCGTAGACAAATTGCAGTTCGTCACGCTTCGCGCCAATGCCGAGGTTGTATAGGATGACGTCTTTCTCATTGTATGAGAACTCAGTGCCTTGGGCTTTCGCCTCTTTTGCCTTCGCAATGGCGTCGAGGATCGCCTGGTTGGAAGCGCCGGACTTCTTCGCACCGCCTAGAGCAAGTTGATTAGCTACAGCACTGAGAGAATTAAAAGCACGATTTGGAAGAAAAAACAGTCTGTATATTGCATTTAAGCTACATCTTACTCCTTCATAGCTCACATGAAGGTCTATGGCATTAAAGAGAAATGGAGATTCTGGTCTATAGTTTACCTTTGGACCTGTTCTGGAAATTCTTCATGACTGACTGCATGCTATCTTGCATGCTCTTCGGGTTGTCTGACCGGCTATCAAAGGTTACGATGCGGTCCCATTGCTTCAGGACGGCCTCTGGAGTAAGTGGCACATCGACCGGGAAGCCGTGTCCTCCACTTCGCTGCCACCTAGTCTGAGCCTGCCAGCCCGAGCCGACTTCGTACAGACCAAGAGTGGGCTCAGGGCAACTGTCTGAGCACAACAGAGCAACGAGCGGTGCGACGTAATGCGGCTTGAAGGCCTGCACCATCTCAGGTGGCATGACTGTTGCGGTGAGCTGGGTACCAGCGTTTGGTGCAATTGTGTTGACGTAGATGTTCTTCTTAGCACCTTCCCAGCCGAGAGCGCGCGAGAAACCGAGGATAGCGCACTTGGCAGCAGCGTAGTTTGCCTGGCCGAAGTTGCCGTAGATTCCGCTAGTTGAGGTTGTGTTCACGATACGGCCATAGTTTTGCTTGAGCATGTACGGCCATGCGGCTTTTGTGACGGCGTATGTGCCCTTTGCGTGAACATCCATGACGACGTCCCACATCTTGTCGTCCATGTTGGTGAATGCTTTGTCACGCAGAATACCGGCATTGTTAATCAAGATATCCACACGACCATATGTGTCAATCGCGGTCTTGATGACGGCGGCTCCATCGAGAACGTTAGCCTTGTTTCCAACTGCCTCACCTCCGGCCTTCTTAATCTCAGCTACGACATCATCTGGGTTGACAAGGTCATTGACGACGACTTTGGCGCCCATGCTTGCGAACAGGAGGGCGTACGCACGGCCAAGACTATGGATCGTTAGTTCATGGCTTGAAAACAGCTGGGGAAATTGTAGATTACCCTGCACCAGCACCAGTAATGACTGCGACCTTATCTTTGATACCGCTAATCGGCAGCGGAGCCGGATTTGGCGGAGCCTTCATGGACTGTTGTAGCTTCTCCAAGAAGTTAGCAGGGCCAGTCGGGTACTCCGGCTCCGAATAGTCGACAACGTTCTTCCAGTCCGCCAATACGGCGCCCGCGGTATACGTCTCATCGGCCTTGAGAAGAGAGCCCTTTGCTCTCTGCCATCGAATCTTCGCCATGTGGCCACCACCAAGCTCAAATATTGAACCCGACTCAGTCTTGTTCGAGGGATGTACGAGGACGGCAACAAGAGGAACGACCCATTCCGGGCCAAGGTTTTTGAGGAGGTCTGGCGGCATAACAGTCTGGGTCATGCGGCTAGCTGCTACCGGCGCGATAACGTTGCAGAGGATGTTGTATTTGGCACCCTCCTTGGCCAGCGTTTCAGTGAAACCGACCTGTGCGAGCTTAGCCGCTTCTTGTTGTTAGCTTTCACCACTATCAAGCATTGTTTGTGATGAGTGCCATACCAGAGTAGTTGGCCTGGCCAAAGTTACCGAAGAGACCGGCACCGGAGGCCGTATTGATGACTCGTCCATACTTCTGCTTTCTAAAGTACGGCCATGCGGCACGAGTGCACTGCAATCTGTTAATTTCCTTGCTCCACTTCTCTATCGCCAGATTTCGTACCTTGAATGCACCCCTCACGTGCACGGCGTTGATGAGGTCCCAGTCTTTGTCTGTCATGTTCTTGAAGCTGATATCTCTCAGAATACCAGCATTGTTGATGAGGACATCGATACGGCCAAAAGCATCGATGGCGGTCTTGATGATGGCCTCGCCATTCTCAACGCTGTCGTAGTTAGCTACGGCCTTACCGCCTGCCTTCTTGATCTCTTCGACGACCACATCGGCAGCCTACGTTTGGATCAGTAGCTGTGGAGAGGGGCAGACCTTTGGGATAGATTACCTTCGTGCCAGCACCTTCTCCTTTGAACGAGCCGCCGAGATCATTTACGACAACGTTAGCTCCTCTCGAAGCAAAAAAGGTGGCGTATGCTTTGCCCAGGCCACCACCGGCACCGGTGATGACGACGGTCTGTCCTGCAAAGCTAAGTTCCGACATTGCTGTGCTGCTGCTATGTGTGATTGAGCAATCAAGAGGAGAAGAGAGGACGGAGGTACGTCAAACGCAGAGAGGGCGAGGACGTAAATATTAACGAAAAGCGCAATCACCCGTCGGCAGCCAGACACGGACACTCGACCTCGTCATGCTGCGTTCTTTGGCATCGACAAACCTCGGTCCATTGCGAGCTGTTGCCGTGCCAATCAGCGTCGCCGTAAAATCTGGGGTTCACATGCCCCAGTCGCAGTGATATCACGTGCACGGTGGGGACGAGTCGCCGCATGCATGTGAACGACTACGGTCGCGACCTGTCAGATCCGTGCGAGGACAGCGGCTCTCTTTGCAATCTCGGTCTCTCTGCTTAACCCTAAAGAATACAAGCTCGGCACCTGACTCGATTCCCTAAGTTGCCAATCCGATCGTGCCTCGAGATGCCTGCCTGTAACTCCCTATGTTTGCCTATGCCTTAAAATACATTCCTCGCTTACATTGCTATTGCCGAGCCAGACCGACCATTCTCACTTTGCCTCGTTCTATCGCAGCCATCATCGAAAACGCGAACCACAAGATCCCATCCGTCGACATGCAGATCAATGGTAGGTGGACTTGGGACTGCAACTCGCCGGCGAAAGAGCGTGGCTATGGGTCTAACTCCCCAAACATGCACCGTTAAGCCAACACAACATGCACGCCTTTGCCATGCCGGACTGCTTTCAATCGAGTGCAGTCCATTGAGTTTGCCTTTCTATATATATTTTGGCCGCAAAGTGGTATGCGTCAATACCTACTGATGGGTGTATTTCACGAGAATTTGCTCGACCATGGCCACAACAGTGTCAACGTTTCTTTGTCCGCCTTGGACATCACCCGCTTCTAGCATCCGCTCTACCGCAGTCAGCAGATTGTGTGTCATTCGGAGACACGAAAGGATGGTTTCGCGTTCATTATCTCTGTAGGCAGCGATTGCAGGAGTGCAGGACATCCGCGAGCGTTTCTGAGAGGTCTGTAGAGTATCAGCAGCACTCTTGCGCTTCATCCGTCTGGTCTTTGCTAGTGGCTGCATTTCTCGAACGTAGATGTCGGCAAACCCGTCTTCCTCGATGCAATGCAGAGAAGATGGAAAACGAGAATTGCCGGCCCCAAAAGTCGTGGCAGCATGAGATTGTGCTGAGATGACATCGTCCACCTCTTGCTCAAGTTCGCCGCCTCTCTGGCCGCCAAACAGCTTCATATCGATAACATCTGTTCCAGCTTCGCGAATGATTCCACGGTGCGCCTTAGCTTCATGCGGGCCGTCGATGACGACTTTGTTGAGGAGATCGAACGGAGTAGGAGTTCCGCGATCTTCGTCTTTGGAAACCTGCATTTCACTAGCATCTTCGATACTTTGGTATACAGCCTGAGGAGACTCTGTCCTTGGCGGGCGTTGGACGCTTTTCGCACGACTTCCGCTGGGTGCTTCACTATGGATTTCACTTCTCCGATGACGTGTTCCAAGCGGGCCCAACAATTTTCGCTCGTGAGATTCGTTGAAATCCTGTGGCGTTGCAGCAGCAATGGCATGAGATTCTGCGGTAGGTGACTTTTGCCTAACGTTTCCAACGCCGATCGCAAATTCGTGACCAACACCGGCACGACCAACTAGTTGAATATTATGTTGCCTGAGTCGAGCGAGCAGTTGACGGACATCGCCGTGCCTAACTTGGATGCCTGCGGTAAAGCTGCGTCGGACACGGCTACGCATTTCATCTTTTGTCATCCCGTGCCTGCTTAGTTCTTCCCCGATCATGCACAGGTCTCGGAGAACATCGCCGCTGCACACAAGATGGTTGTTGTCGGCGTCATTGGGGGTCGAATTTTCAGGGAAGAGTTCACCCAACTTTCTGATTCCGAATAGGTCCGCAAGACGTGCCCAGCGTCGGTTCTTTGAGGAGATTGTGACAACCGAAGCTTCAGCTTGGCTCTTCACTCGCGCCATGGACAGATTGCCGTTGAACAGGGAAACAGGATGCTGTACGATGAGAAGGTCGACTGATGATTGTGAAGTTAGTCTTTGTACGTCGTTCTCATGAAGTCTCGAGCATTTGTGACGCACATTAAGTCAGACCTCAATTAGAGGATTAGCTCAAGTAGAACAAAGCTAAGCTTTTCTTTTCGACCTCTATATGAGGCGTTACTCTAGTGCTCACTTATACTTCGAGATCCTCTCTGCTTCTTTTTGAAACCAAAGGCTTCAAACTCAGGAAATCAACAACGTTCAGTTAAAGTGAGCTGCAAGAGCAACTCGAGATTCACATCGATAATTTCGATCAGTGACTGGAACCTGTTGATTATTTTGGAAAGGAGTAGATGAGGTAGGCTGCGCTGTCGCAGATCACGTGAATGTCTCGGCGACGGTTCACGGTGTTCATCTAAGAAACAAACTGTTCAACTCAGGCGGTCTATGTATATTGCGCGGGATTTTGATTGCGGTGGTGATATTGTCCGATTGTCCTCAAACCACCTGCCTCGAACTTCACACCAACGCGCTTCCACCCCATTACTTGAAAAGCTTGTCTACCACTCCGCCTGGTTTAAGCTGGACGAGTCCAGTCTTTTAACCATCGTCCTACTTTATTTCGAACTTCTAGATGGCACTTGACTCACCAGCCTCCGTGTCACCGGAATGAATGGCCTCGCTGGTTTTTTTTTTTTTTTTTTTTTGATGATTGATCTCGACATCACTTCTGCTACGCGTGGTTGCTTCCGACACCCGCTCCCATTCGAATGCAAATTCGAGAAAAGCAAATCGAAAACCAAGCAGTGCTGTGCCCGATCGTTCAAAGTTACGTCGAAACGTTCGAATCCAAACCAAAAGGCCTCTTTTCAATTTGCAAAAAGATTTTGCCATGTTCCTAAACTGCGACGCGGATCCAAAAAAAAAAAATGGGATATCAAAAAACAGTTCCTTTTTATACGTGTATGTACGTGTACGACATAGACATACTGCGCGTGCAAACAATTGCTATTGAATTTTGTTCGGTGATTCCGCGACAACTTTAAGTCACAGTAAGCAGCATTATCCCTTTGGTACAGGAACTCTGAGCTTTGCATGACGGAAGATTCACATTAGAGCTAGCTCTTAGCCCCGTGACGTGTCTCCACAAGGCTGCTGATGACGACGAAAGACTTCGTCCGTCCGCGATCACCATCATCATCATCGTTTGCACAGGCGTTTCCTTGTCTCCAACTACCTTATCAAATATTGTACGCGACGGTTGAGCTCGTAAGGCCACTCGTAGCGTATTAGCCAACTCGACTATTTGCACAGATTCTAAACAAATTGCTTCAATCACTTGCGAGCGAGAATCCTCAGCAGGTTGGGACTCTAGACAGACGGCACAAATAAACCGCCGTTATCGACACGTTTGAAGTGCCCGCCTCAAATCAATCATAATACACACGGCCATCAATCGCAAACTCCTCGTAAGCAAGGAAGGCTGGCGAACGCGACAACAGATATTCCGTGCCTTCTGCAGGCAACCTCAGAAGGGGCCTTAAAAATTGAAAGGTAAGAAATAAGACGCGAATCTAGGGAATGTTCATGAGGCTTTCTGCATTTCAAGAAGTAAACCATCAAACATATATGATACACAACTCTCACCATGAAGAGTCTTTTTATGTTACGATCCCACCGTCTTCTCCAAACACGCTGTTCCCATTATATCTCCACACGCAGAGACAGAATAGGAGTCGTACTTATCAAAACATAGAGGAATTGCCTTTCCGCTTTTCTTACTCGTGTTACGACGATCTCTCTAGACGACACAAGCATAAAAAGGCTCAGAAGAACTAGTCATGCTGACAGCGACTGCCAAGTGGCGGTTGAAGTCAGCTTGATGTACAGAATTGCTACCCACAAAGATATGAAGTAGCATAGAAGGGGCGGTGCGTGTGTATGTGCGCGTGTTATATATCGCTGCGACTCCAGGTTGTCGTCATAATTCTGCTTTTAGCGCTTGCATGATCGCATGTGCAGCCAAATCAAAGGAAAAAGGCGATACCCCAGACGCCATGCGAAATTCCGTCACGTAGAAGAAGAGACGGTGCTGTTCGCACCGGTGGTTTCGGGTGCAGAAGTTGTCTCTACACTATCGGCTTGCCTCAACTGCTCGGCGTTCTCCTTGTTATCAGGCCTCGGTTCGTCGCTTGCCGCTGAAGGAATGGTTGCAGTAGCAGCAACCACCAAAGAAGGCGGCGCCATTGGCATGTCCACATCGTCAGCAGGAAGATCTGCGTCATCATCTTTCCTCGGCTCTGCCGTCTCTCCGTGCGCCTCAATAGGATCGGACTTGATCTCGTCGGTGGTATCGACGTTGTTAGTAGGGCCAGCGCTGCTCTCCGCCTCCGCCTTGGCGTCTTTCTCTTTTTGCGCTCTTTTCTTCATCCAATCGCCAAGGCTCATCTTCTTCTTGGCCGGACTGGGTTGCACGACTGAACTTGATGTGGAAGGTGAGGGAAGAGCAGGCATTGGATTGGCGAGAGGAATGGAGGATGGTGACTGCACAAAGCTCGTAGCAGTCACGCTTTGAGGCTCGCCATCTGCAGGTGTGGAGGCTGTAGAAGAGTTTGGTGCTTGGCGCGCAGGATCCGTTGTGGAGGGAAACGATGGAACCGGTGGTATTGGGACATGCGTCGGACGACTGACAGGAGGCATTTCAGGATCCGAGCTTGCCTTCTGAATTTCCTCCCATGGTGGCGCAGGTGGTTGAATTGGTGTGCCTGAGGAGGGCTGCACGCTTGCAACAGCACTATCCTCTTTTGCTGATGATGCGCTATCAGACTTCTCAACAGTTGCGCTGTCTGTCTGCCCTGTAGACATGCTCTCTATCTGCTCTGCTGGTATGGGATCTTCTCTCTCTGCGGGCGTGCTGTCCATCTTCTCAGCGACTATTCCATCCATTTTCTGCGGTTCAGAATCTGGAGGTGGCTCCTGGCCCTTGGACTGTTCATCAGCTTCTGACGGGGCGTCCTGCATGTCAACATCCATCCTTTCCTCCACAAAAGGTTCCGTTTTTGGGGCTTCGGACGAAACAGGAACCGGGGGCGGTAGCATCGCTGTGGATGAAGGGATTGGCGAAGCTTCCGTCTTGGTAGCTGTGGTTAAGGCATCTGTTTCGCCCATCACAACGATGCTCCGTTCCCTACGCCTTTTCGACTCTAACTGCACTCGGCGCAGTAGACAGCTGATATGGCTGCCTGTATTCCTACGTCTTGGCGATGGACTAGAGGCAGGATAATCACCCTCCGTCTGTGTTGGCATGGAAATCATTTCCGGCTTCGGTCTCCGCGTGGCTTTTGATACACCATTCACTACCCTCGAAGAAGTGCCATTCGTACGTGGTGGTCGACTCGTTCCAGATGCCGCAGATGTCATTGTAGGTGACGGGTTATCCGGAGGACCGAGCTGTTTCTAAATCTCATTAGCCTCGCTTTTTATGGCATGACGAATGTCATATCCTTACCGAGTTGGACGGGTTGGGCGTGTTGGCTTGCGGGCCCCCGCTGGTCCTTTTTGGTTTCCGCCCAGAGCCTCCATCCAATTCCATCTTCTCGAAAAGCTTTTCCTGCTGCAACAATTTCCGCCGTTCACGATCAGACATGGCGACGCCAAGACCAACGGTAGCGTCAGTGGTCATCGGTGTGTTATCGCGACTGCTCGGCTGACTCCTTGACTTGACGGACATGGACCGGCTATCCGCCATATCCTCATCATTGTCGCCATGAAGAACTGCCTCGCTTCCTGCTCGGCTGTTGGTTGCACGGCCAGTGCTGCCAGGGGAGATCTGCGCAGGTAGTCGCTTGAGTTTTCGCGCCTTCGACGCCTTGGATCCAGTGCCAAGCGAGTTGAATGGGCGCTCCCTGTTGCGCAGATCAAATCTGGCTAGATTGCATGATACACCGGGACCTAAGCGAGAGCATGCGCACCCGCCGAAGTTCGCCAGGACGTTGGTAAACCACGATGACATGTGGGCCTCATCCTCTGGACTCAGTGCACCCCCGTCATTGACAGCGCGGATGATTTCCAACTCTCGATCACGAATGTGCCAGGGTACCGTAAGTTCTTCTCCCTCGGCGATCTCTCGCAATGAGATGAAACAGAAGTGGAAATCCGTACCGTTAATGATAATTTGTAACTTGACGTTGGGATTGCAACTGCGGCCTACATGTCGCAGCACACTTCCCTCTTCGCGACAGTCAACGTACACAGGCAGTCGATCGTGAAAGAAAACGAAGGGTTCAGGATGTCTGAGCTCTTTCCAGCGATTCTCCGGATTGGCAATGTACGACTCCAGTCGACCTATAGTGCCGTTAAGCTCACCGATGTATGCGTTTTCACTGCACGCTGCATTCGCTGTGACCCATCTGTAGACAGGACGTAGGCCATTGATGACAATGCTCGGATCTTCGCGCTTACATGAGCTCACGCCAGGCGAGGTCTGTTTCAGCGCCTCAATGTTGCGATCCCACCTCGTGAAGACATCCTTCTGCGTCAAGTTGGGACTAATCTCCTTGAGGGCGTCCGTATCATTGAGCCAGGTGCGCAGATCGTTAGGGATATTCAGATCTGCATAAGAATTGTACTCGATCGTCTGGAAAGTCGCATTGCTGGCTCGCATGAACTCTGGTGAGTAGTAGTCGCCGGAGTAGCCTTCTGGCGAGTTCGACCGAGGCGACTTGGTAGGACTTTGGCCATTCATCGTCGTAGATCCAGCTCGTTTCCGGGAGTGTCCTGACGCAAGGTTGGATATTGACGCGCTACTTCTGTGTGTAGTCTTTGGCCTTTTCGCCGGCGGTCCCTGGTCTCGAGGACTACCCGACGCACGATCCGGTCCATCGGCACCGCTGAGCCAGCCGTTTGTCTGGCCGGGAGTGCTGTTGGCATCCTTGACTTTTTTCTTGTGGCTCTTCGAGGCCACCTTTTTGATCTTGCGTTCAGCGGGCGAAACGACGAGTTTTGCGTGTTGCTGACGCTCTAGTGCTGCCTTTTTGTCGTACGGTCGGGGTTCGCAGAAGACGCAAACGTGTGTATCTGGGATGATCTCATCGGGGTAATAGCACATAATGTGCGACCAGGTGTTGCAAATTTCGCACAGGACGGTGCTCCCGTCATCTTCATTGATATCGCAGAAACATCTGATGATGGAGTCGTCCTCTGGCACGTCGTCGCCAGGGGCTGAGAAACCGTTGACGCGAGGATGTGTTGTGGAGGGCGCGAATGCGGAGGCGGGTGCTGAGGAGGCGAGCTGCAAGTCAGCATGCGTGTTGAAGGGAGCGAGCTCGGTCATAATCCGAGCCGCCGTAGGAAGCGTGTCGGCGCGCGATACGAGAGTTGGATGCGTGCGTGTCGAAGTGTGATGTGGGTGGTTTCAGGAGCGCCGATGTCTGGCTCGCATGACGGCGACCTCAACCAAGCTGTCGCCAGATGCCAAGGATCTCGCAACAACGAAACGGATCGGTTGCTGGATGGCTGGCGACTTATGTCAACTCGTTTCGATGGGCTGTCGCCGGAAGTGGACGTGCCCAAGGCGTCCGCGAAGAACTTGAAGGCAAAGCTGGACGGTCCGACAGGCTCTGTAGGATAAAACGACGCGACGACAGACTGCCCAAGCACATCAGAGGTCAGAATTTGATGGATTCAGGCTCTTTATGTGTGCTTAGGGCCAGTGTGCAGACGTGCGAAGGCAAGGTGGCCGGTCGGCAGACAAGTCGCAAAGAGAGCAGCGAGTGCACGACGGCGTAAAGGGGGTCGAGATTGGTATCAAAACGAAGCTTGCGGCTCAGGTATTGCGAGAGCGCAGCTTGAGGACTGCGGAGGGGGTGGTGGTAGAGCGGCGTGGCAGAGAAGCGGACGGGGTGGAGTGTATGGTGTGTGTGTGTCAGTGCCTTTTGCTGGACGCACACTTGAAGAGAGGAGTTGCGCCTTTGGCCAGCGACGAGTCCGGCCAATCAGCGGCAGGACGCCAGACAGGGGAGGGGGGAGAACACGCTAGGCGCCCAATCAGGTCTAGCGCCGCCTTGGACTGTTTCTTGGGGCGCCGGCCGTGCTCGCCCAATCCCTGACGCTCCGGGAAAAGAGGAAAAAGCGACGTGTGCTGCTTTATTATTGTCACTGCATTTCTCATCATGGCTGCCGCGTCGGCCTGATTTCTCTGGGCCGTCGCTGCCTGTCTTCACCGCCAATCTCCTCTGCGTTGTTTTGCCACGCCTCGACGCCGCCGCTGCCGTCGTCGTCGCCGCCACCCCCACCACCACCAACGACGTCTCCGGCTTCGTCGTCATCGTCGTGATCGTCATCATCGGCGCTGTTGTGATCACATCGACTGCATCTCTTGTTTGCGAAAATGCGCGTGTGGACGCGTGCCGCCCCATGCAAGTTATTTCACGTCTGCGGAGTACTGCCACCGTAGAAACGACACGACCGTCTCACCGGCTGCCAACGCAAAGAACAACGTTTCACCGCGCTTTGTCGTTGCCTGCCCTCCGCCTGCTTGCAGCCACAAACCTTGCTGTGCTGAAAGTGCCGTGCAGCACACATTTCGCCCAATGCTACCCAACACTGGGGCACCCTCCACTTTGCCTGGCCTGTCCACTGGATGACGGACGAAAGCGGCCGATGCGAGATCGGTGCTGCTTGTGACTTTCTCTATCAGCAAGCGCTCTACGAGCCATGTTCGTTCGGCTCGAATGCAGACTGGTGCAGCGATCACACATGCCCACTTACCATGCGCGATCAGATTATCGATATCCCCATGATGCCAAACCAACTCTCTGCTAAACGTTGCGCTGCGCGTTTCGAAAAGTCACCTGTAATTACAGGGCTTTAGCCTTTCGTCGACTCAGCCCTACCATTCCGCCTCAAACGGCTATTCCTTCCTATCTTTGCTTCATTCCTTCTGGCCTCGCTATCATGTCCGGCATATCGATACTTTTGTCAACGCTACATAATTCTGCGTAGCCACTCGCTGTGGTAACAGATCTCGTCCACAGGGTTGGCGCTGAATGTGTCGGATGCCTTGAATCCAGGATAGCGCCGATTATCCTGGATTCGCGCTATCCATCCAGATAATATCCGAATGACTGCAAGCAACAACAGCATTGTAGAGGCAATAGAGTAATTAAGCCCGCTTCATTAATAGTCGTACGACATATAAAAAGACAGAAAATATAATTACTGCTCCGCTGGAGCATCAAAAAACTCATCATCGCTCTCATCGCTATCCTCATCCACCATCGTCAGATCCACCTCCTCCACACCAACAAGATCAATGGGTATAAACCCCTCATTCTGCTGCCGTACGACAGCATTCTTATCCTCCTTATATTTATCTTCGTCCTCCTCATCGCTGCTCAATTCGATGAGAACCGGAAGGTTCCCAGCAGGAAAAGGGGTGGGGGGAGCCGGCGGTTGCCAACGCGGCATCTGCGAATCTTTTCATATCATTACCTGTCGTGCAATATAGAAAAGGTGTTAAACTTACTGAATAAATTGCAGCGTGTGGCTGACCAATCTTTAAATTTACAATTCCCGCAAGAATTGCCCTAGTGGCCGGCCAGCGACATACAATCTTCAAAGAGCCCGCGGCGCGGATGGGTTGCATATTCCGCTAGATATCACTATTAGCTATCGTACGATATATAAAGGTGAGAAGACCTTACTGCATGGGACCGGATTAACTATACCCCAAGTCTGTATCAACGTTGCGTTGATATATGACTGCCGATGCGTCGCTTATTGGTATGACCGCAGCCGACCAGAAAAAAACCATACGTCTACCGGCGGGAGCGCGGCGACGAACTGCTGTTGAATCTGAAAAAACTATTAGAATCTTGATGGATAGGCGTCGTACGACATACATTGTGACAGGTATTCACAAACACCTGTTGAAACTGCGGATTTGACGCCGCAGGGAGCAAACGAAGCCAGAACTGACCACGCTGTTGCTGCTGGCTATTCTGCTGAGCGGCGGCGAGCGCGAGCGCCATCGGGGAAGGGAGGGGAGCTATAACATGTTAGTATATCGTACGACAGTAAAGGAAATCTAAAAGGTCTAATAACCTGCCATCTTGCTCGAAGTTAAAAATTAGAAAGAAGGAATTAGATAGTTTAAATACTTATATATACTAACTTAAATCTTAACGCGTATTATCCTATTGTATATATTATTCCTTAATCTTATTCATCTTAGTAATGTACGACAGTAAGGCTTCACTTAATGAATATAAATAAGATCTAGAATAGAACAATAGGATCTAGATCTAAATTTGAGATCTAGCTATTGATAATAAATAATAATACTAAAATATTATATAGTACCTTTATCTTACATCTTATGAGATAACCAATGGTGTAAACACTCAAGAATCTCAATTGTTTCTGCAGTTAAACGTGATCGTTCCCAAGAGATCGTACGACGGCCACCAGAGAAGACGCATTCTAGTTCATCGCTCATAGGAGGAATTGAGTAAAGCTCGATTGCAATAATTGAAAGACATAGATATATCATATAATATTTATCATCTTGCCACCATTGCAAGGGATCCTCTGTCCTAGCTGAAGCCTCTGAAATAAAGGCCTCCCACTCATCTACATTATCTGATGTAGCCCAGTTTCCAAAGATCTTCTCTATCATACCTGAGATTGAACGATCCTGAGCTTCTTGAATCACATTGGCTGTCGTACGACGCGTTTTCCGTTTATCAAGACTTCTTTCTCTTCCAAGCTCTTGAGGTTTTGGTTGTTCTGGTAAGGTCGGCATTCGTTCAAGCCATATTTGTTTGATCTAATCCCTTTTAGTCTTTTGCGCCTTTGCGGAGAGCTATAGGAATGATATAATCTTATTAATCCACATCATACGATAGTAAGGATGAAGTGTAGTTGCAAGTTGATAGAGTAAATGATCCCAAAGTAAATCCCACCACTTTTGCTATGCTTCAAGGGCTGCTTTGCATCGTACGACGCAATCCTAAGCAAATTCGGTTGTTTTCTCCTCGTGTTCGCGCTGAACCGTGTGTAGATAAGATCGGATAATCCATAAGGATGGAAGAGAATCAGTGATATACTTGGAATAGCCTTCATTCTTAAAAACAATATCCTTAAGTGCCTTGAGAAGATTTGTCGTCGTACGAAGTGTCTTCCACTCATCTTTTGTTAATTCATCTTTCCAAAGATCTGGCTGATGTTTAACATAATGATCTACATGCATCTCAAGCTCTAGAGCTATACAGATCATATAGTACCAACTGTTCCATCTTATACGGTTATCTAAAGGAATCATTCATTGAGCCTTCCTAAAAAATTCCTTTGTACGAACTGCTGATGACCGAATATAAATAATAATATTATGAAGTTTACCCATAGGACCAATAGACCTAAGAGAATCTTGTTATATAATACTAGGAAGTAACCCATCAGTTTCTTCGCGATCCATTTGATCAAGATCTTGTATATTACAAGCATCAGAAGTACCAGAGAAAAGAAAGGCTTAAATAATAAGATTGATAATTTGACCTAGACAGCGGATCCGCTGTGATTCTGGATCCCAATTAAGCTTAAATTGCTCAGAACACCACTTCTATATTGTATGATATAGAGTATCATTTGTTATAGCGTTATCTCCTACCAAAACCCCAGCTCTTAACAGATCTCATATTCTTTGAGTACCGTATGAAGGATTACAAACTGTTCTTCACTAAAATAACCTAAAACTGGACGTAAAGCAAGAAGATGTGTTGTAATTGTGCCATTTTTATTTCGTACGAAGGTAGTAACGATTACTATAAAGAGGATTCGGTTCGGTGATGTCCAGATATTAAGAGAAATATGGATTTCCGAGCCCTCAGTTGTGATTTCATGCTAAAAAATCAGCTTTTCATCATACCAGTGGCTTTGAATTGTCGTACGAATAGTTAAATATAACGCTGGTATAATATGCTCTTCTGCATAAGGATTTAACGCTCGGACGAAGGCATGGAATTCTGGAGATTCTACGACCGAGAGAGATAAGCGCTGTTCAACTATTAATTGTACGAGAGTCGCTCGTATAAGCCGTTTATCTAAATAGGAGTTGAGTACTTCATTTCGAATGTACTCCTTTGTAACTGATTCAGCTGAATTCCATAGCTCTTTCAATTGCATATTGCCTGCCAGTCGTACGACACTTTGTTTTGATTTGACTTGAATATCGTGCTTTCAGGTGATCTTTAAAGTTCGTTGGAACATGTGAGCGATATGTGCAGCCTTCGAATGCGCAATAACGAATGACTCGAGTTGATCCAGGAGGATGGGTTGGTTCTTCAGGTAGTGGCTGTCGTACGTAATCATCTATCGTACCAAGTGTACTTTCTTGAAAAGAATCAATAAGATTATTAATCTCTGCTTGTGAGGAAGCCATTGTACGACAGTAAAAGGTGCAAATAGCATTGTTTCGTTGACAAGGCATATTTTTGAGGTTATCCGGATTGGGATTATCTCCATCCATCCTCATTCACGGATTGCTATCCATCCTCCGCCAACCCTGCTCGTCCAAGTCGTCTAGACTCCCAGCGAGATCACGTGATCGTTTCGCCCTTCTGTAGCCTGACCGTGCTATTAATTGTTCAGCTTTCTAAGCCGAGTCTATCTTTGACGACATTCTTTTGTAGGTTCACCAGACTGTTGAAAGGGTTCCACGTTTGGGACCGAAGAACTCGCCGATACGAGATATGCAACCCTATATCTCCACCGGCATTGACACAAGGGGGAAGCCTCTCATATGACTAGGTTATCGCTTTCTGAATACCATTCTCAGTGTGCTTGACGTTCGAAGTCGAGTGTTATACCTTGGAAATTTGCGCTACCACGACGACGATTGATATCTGAATACATATAAGGTACATTAATTGCGTCGCCAAAGGGTTTCCCATGACAATGCCAATAGCGTGTGCTCAGATTCATGCTGCGCTATTCCGTTCCTACTTGCTCTTTTTGAACTGTTCGTCCTATCGCGCCAATGAGGAACATATTCTCATAGACTACAGGACACGTCAAGCGCCTCCAAGGACATTGCCTCTGGTTCTTTCCAAAAACACCAACGACTGAGTGGCTTTGTTTGGGATGCCAATTCCCAGCCTTGCTCGATTTTTTCTATACACCGGACGTGAAAATTGGGTGTGGGCGTCTGGGATTGCAAAAAATCGCAAATTAGGACCATGGCGAATATTTTCCCGCCGACTAGGCAGAAAATATGCTCGGAGTAGCAGGACCATATCTCTGAGATTCATTTTCAGGGCGGATACAGCATTTCCATGATTCTGAAGATCACGGGGACAATATCTCTGCTATTACAAGATCTCATGAGCACCAGTGATGTCGCTATGCTCAGCGTGAAGGCCATGAGCTGACCCTTCGTACTCGTCTATGGATTTAATGAGAGCAATTTTATCTTTCATCGAGTTTTTAGATGGCCTCTTCCAGTATCAGGCCTGAGGTTGGAAAAGGTAAACTTAGAATATTTGACCTCCATCACTTTGGATCAAGATCTTTCTCATCTGATTTCAATTACATTTTGTAAGACGATTTTTTCCAGCTTATCCAATATCTCCTCTCTTTTTGACAGATGATCTTGCATCTGCCGCAGACCAGACGATCCTCTGTGTCGTGAAAGCCTGGACTTGATGCGGTCAGAAGATTCCTGCACGGGTCTGGCCAGCCCCAGGTTCCCAGATTCGTTGCACAAGACAGTCGGAAAGACTATTCTCAATACCGGAGAGTAAAGCCATCCAGCCGATTCTTGAGAGTTCATGTCCCTCATGTTTTCGATCCGAGAGACGCTTACGTATCATTCCCATAATCGTTGCTTTTTTTTTTTTCTTGAATCAGAAAATCAGACTTGAGATTCGACGCAATGGGCATACGTATCGACAGCCGTTGACAGGCGCTACTCCCAACAATAGAGGCAGAATTGATGATTTCCGATGTTCACTTCTCTCCGGGGGATTGATACGCAGGCGAATCGTGTAGCATCGCGCAGATGACAACACAGCTCGCGTGCTGATCCAGGCCGGCCATATCGGCCTGGAATCAGAGAAACGTAGCGTACGCACCTAATCCGGGACACTACGTGTACCTGTATTCCTTCCTGGGCTCCACAACAACTGGAAGGGGAATGGCTGTTCCCAAAGTCGTCAATGACACCCACGAATCCGATCCGTCATAGCTCCTCGCAAGCCCTTCGCAGCGGCAACCAAGCTTCTGATCACGTACGCGTCCTGGAGCCGCGCCCCAGTAGTTCAAACAAATTGTCTATCCGACACGCGTCACTGGTTACACATCACGGAGACTGGGTGAGGCTCTGACGCACCAGTGTACATCTCTCGTTGCCGACTCCAGCCTTGGGACTGTGAAAGGATGGACGCGATGCGTAACCCCCTATCCTGCGACCTCTAGCTAGCGTTAGAGACTCGATCAGTACGACAAGCTCAGGTCATTCCTCTCGCCTAGGCCTGTTCGTCGCCAAGTCACTGGAAACGCGCCGTGATGTGCCCGGCTGGCTTGCGCGTCGTCATCTCCAGACATTGACGAGCCCGGCCGTGCCGCCCGCGACGCCGTAGAAGAGGAAGTTCCCTCCGTAGGCATGCCTTGGGTGACCGGCCCCTGTAGGAGCGCGTTTAGACAACAACACGCCTACCTTTACTGAATCAGTCAGCGTACGTGCCCAAGGCGCAGAGCAAGCATACACGTCCTCAAAGGGAGGTGCAAACAAGTGCCTTGGAGGAGGCTATCGACATCGCATAGATTCAACACTAGGGTTAATCTTTACGACTTCCCCAGCTTTTCTGGAGATGCTTGCGGTGGTCTACCATTAATTTGGTTTCCGTTTCGAACATTTCGTGCGCCATAGCGACGCAGATTTTTAAGTCTTTCAACGTGCCTGATCTGAGGACATAATAAGACGGACAGGGGAGAAAGAAAAAAAAAAAAAAAAAAAAAA